CACATAAAATCAAAAAGAGTTGAAAACTGCGAATACCTAATTATTATAAATAATTCTAAAAAAAAAAAAATATATCAGATTTCTTTCTGTATAATATTTTTCATCGAATTAAATAAAAAAAAAAAAAAAAAAAACCCTCGCACGTTATAGCATTGAACCAACGGATTCGGCGATTCGCGCAGGATCCAAAACAATACTGAAAGCGCGCATAGTGTCACGACCACATGACTTAAAATTGTTTCTCGTGTCGCGGCCCCGCTCCAGAATCGGAAATAATGTGACGCGAATCCGGGACATCGTACGGATTATGGCCGTTACGTGTGACGCGAACCGTACAACAAGACGGCATCGCGGCATTCCATGTTATAATATTTATGAAAACACCTTTTTATGCGACGCGAGTGAAATATTACGTCGCCGGATCGACTGCACGCGGCCGTCGTCGGTTCAATAATAGTTTAATTCGGAAATATTCTATTCGACAGTGTAACGTTTTTACCCCCGGCTTTCCAATCGTGCCGGTCCCCTTTATCCGCGATTTATCGTTTTTTTTTTTGTGTGTTTTTTGTTTCCGCCGGAATCGCGCCCCAGAAACTGTAACGTGTTAAATATTACTCGACGAACTCTGCTGCGTTTCGCTGCAGCGCCCACTCGACTCGCGTCGGCGGACAGCATTTCGCGTCCGTTTCGCCGTGACGCGTTTCCGGCGTTTAAGAGACGTCGACAGATTTTCGAACACGCCGCCGTGCCGCGATCGCGTACGCGTGCCACAATACGACTGCGTGAACGTCGACGGCGTGCGAGGCGACCGAACAGCCCCGTTCAGGCATTTACGGTTGACATTTTCACGGAAACCGCGGTATACTAAAACGCGCCCGACCGAACCCGGCTGTTCCGGGCCAAGGTCTCGGTTACCGACGATTTTTTTTCTTTTCTAAACACACCACTGCGTTGCACCCGTATTGATTGATAGATTGGATATTATTATTATTATTATTATAATATTATGCGTTTGACGTTGATCGCCCACATCCGTTTGCGTTTTTACTGTTCTTTGAAAACAACTCGCGTACCCGTTCGAAATGCGCGCGCGTTCATTCTGTTAGATGGGTACCAATAACGTTCGAGTGTGATCAACTCGCTCGATAAACACGCCTGCGTAGAATTCCACAAAACGCGCCAATGTCTTAGCAGATATTTAAAAAATATTTCAAGTAAATTACGAAAACTATTTTGAAAATATAAATTTGCTGTGCGGGAAAATATTTGTGCGGTAATCGTAATGTTTTCGCGGGGGCATGGGTTATAGATTATTAACGGTGCGGAGGGGGGTTGGCTTTCAATTGTGTGAAATAGGCCGACACGAAAAAACAATTCCGATTTGGATTGGGTCAGGAATTGAAAAAAAAAAAAAAAAACGTTAACTAAATATTGCGCAGCACGTACAAATGTATTGACTACTAAAGACATAATATAATTAAATACAAGTTATTAATATTTTTTTTTAAATTATTGTAGAAGTAAATTTAATCTTTGTCTACATTGTGCTAGTTTGTTAACAATTTGTACCGGAGCAATAATGACGTACCTATAAATATTTAAAAGGGCCAACTCAGTTAGACGCGCACGTTGAACGGCTGTCAGACGTTTGATCCGAAATATACTTCATTAGGCACAGATCTTCTGATCCTGCACGAAATCGAAAAATTGAACGAAAATCGCCATCATCGTGAGGTGGTTCTGCCTACACCTATCTATTTTACCCGTTTCGTTTTTGCATCTAAAGGCTATTTTTTGGCGACCACACAACATTACAGTTCCAACAATGGAGATCAATTTTTTCCAATTTTCCTCAACCTGTGTTTTATTTTCTGAACGTATAAAGTTTATAGTTCTAGTGGTTTTTCCCGCCATAACCTATATAAACAACCCTTGAACTTTTTCAACCGATAACCCACATTATTGCGATTGTCAAATATAATGTTTAGCTTTTTCCCAACATACAATTGGGGACGGCCGCTAAACACCGTTGTTCTGGTGCACTTCGACCATCATAATTACGGCCGAACAACACACAAGTTTTGCACAGAGCCCATTCGGTAACGTCTGAAAACACGAGCCGAGAATATTGGTCCATCCAGTGTCGTTGGAAGGAATGACGTCTTTCCCGGTAAAAAAAAAATATCTACGTGTAATAAACGTAAATACGTACAATACACGCGTGGATCCCCCCGGCGGTTTAACGAACAATTTATGAATATTGACCGGGCGAAAAGGCGCGCTCGGACGAATATCCAACGTATGAAAGCCATACATTGAACAGGCCGTCGTGACGCGTAATAATGTCAGTAAACGTATTGTAAACTTACATCGACGTACGTCACACCATTATCGTACGAATAATATCTACGTGCGTGTACACGCGAAAGTTATCCTAAATATAAACGTAGATTACGCATAGTGCGTTACATACTGGGTTTATCATTCGCCGGAAATCGATAAGACAAAGGGGGGCGTCCGAGGTTTTTGAAACACTTATAATTTTTCTCCGTTATCCGTCCGCGGATTCCCTAAATATTTACCCACGCCGTTTTCGAATAATAGTTCTTGACGGTTCTTTTTCTCCATCAGTGGAACACGCGTTTCTTAAAGAACTCGGAACTTCGTGGGCAGCGGAGTCGCGCACTGAAAATTACGAGGGCCGATTATTTGGATGGTTTCATCGGAACTTCGTGCCTTCTCAGAAAAATTTAAAATAGTCGATTGACTTCGTTTCATTTTGTTTCTGTCGAAAAAAAAAAAAAAAAAACCCAAATTTTAAGTGTTATCTCGTGTTCGCCCGACAATTATCAAATAAAATACCTAATCTATTTATACGCGTAACATTAATTTTATCCGCGTCGATGCGAATAAGAACGTTCGTCGAACTTGAAAAAACAATACAAAAACAACTCTTACAACAGTCTAAACCTATATGACAATGCGGCACCGGCATTGTGGGTATTGCGTTTTGCGGTGTTCAATATTTATACGCATACAATACTGTTAATGGACAGAAATACTTACGGAAGTAGAGTACTGATAACTGTGGGTGGAATGAAATAAAAAAAAAAAAAAAATGAAGGCTTGAAAATATTCCGGGTATGCTCGCACAGTCTGATCAGACTCCAACGGAAAAATGATGCGAGATGTCGACGTGTCGTAAATCGGTAAATCGCAATGCAAAAATAATAGGTAAATCGTACTACCCATTTATAAACAATTATTAGCGGTATGGCCCGTAGTCAACGGTGTTTAAAAAAATGATAAGATGAGAAGACGATTGTCAACATAATTAAATTCTGGATAATCGCACACTATTCTGTGAATTACTTTATTATTGTACACACCAAACGCATTTTGCAATTTTGTAAAATTGTATCACACCAATATTCACGTTCCGTCAATACTCGGTAGAGAATTCATTAAAACTCATCAATATGTATTATTATTTTTTTTTTAATTAAAAATTATTTTTATTATTACCTATTCATTTACTTATTCGGATTTTGTCAATGGGGAGGAGGTTCAACCCCTACCCCCTTTCTACGCCCCCGAGTATTTACACGTACAGGGATTATGACACGAATTTAGTTTTGTATTTATTTTATAACATTGCATTAAATGACGTTTTACATGAACATTTTAAGTACCTACTTATTCAGTCACAGCAGAAATATTTTGTACTATGAAAATTCGTAGCTTGTATTAATGGTATCATAAAAACATTAAAAGATAAACACTCAAATATTGCTTTTTCTGATGAGTGATGGAAATCGTTCATTGAATTATTTAATATACAATTATACTTAATAGGTATGTACCTATCATTTTTCTTTCTATTAGTTTTTTAAACAAGTAATGTAATGTAACATTTTATTTTCAAATAATAATTGTTTAAAACATTTTAGGAATCAAAACGAAGAAGAAAGGAATCCAGTTATTTAAATGATATTTATCAGTCAACTATCACTAGTACGAAAAATATGGAAACGAATACTGAACAAACAACAAATAGAAAATAAGATTATCAAATTATTTTTAATTATTAACTACATACTAATTCGAAAAAAAAAATTTTCAGCAGAATGCGCGTTGGTATAACAATTGGAGTAGATAAGTTACTCAAACTTAATTTTAATGACAGCACTTGTTTCATTGATCATTATAATGTTTAAAAACTAAAATATATTTTCATGTACACAAATTTAATGTTTTAAAAACATTAGTTAAACTTGTTGTCCTAGGGTTAACAAAACCTCGTAGCAGATTTGCAAGCTCACACCATCAATCTCTAGAGTACTTTTGATTTAATGTAAAATTAAATTCTATCACATAGAAAACATGTTTATATTATTATCTTAAGCTTAATTTACATAAATAATTAAACAATTCAAAAAAGCATTATTATTATAAGTATTATACTTATGCTTCGTAAAAAAAAACAAAAATAAATAACAATAGGTATTATACATTATTCAATGATCTGCATACAAAAAAAATTATTGGTATTTCCTAATTACACAATCAAAATATAAACTTTTATGGTGTTTCATCACACAAAACAAATACTTTCTGGCATTTATTATATTTATAATATTGAAAATCACAAAGCTAAATTTATAATGTAAATTAATAAATTATGAAAAAAACTAAACAAATAGAAAATGCATTTCTTCAGATACATATTTTAAGAAAATAAAAAAATGTAATTTACTTTTTATTGTGGAAAAAAATTAATTAAATAACAACAATCTCAAAAGTTATATAAAACAAAAATAATATTTTACAATGCTTATATATATATATATATATATATATATTTATATATATATATATATATAAATGATTTAGTTATACATTCATATAGAGAAAAAACTATTTCTATATAAAATGTATGGAATAAATATTTTATGTTGAAGTCAAAACATGTCTAAAGTCTATAGTCCATAATTTTGGCATAATCTATATTTAAATAATATCATCATTAGTTACTTATGAACTATCTGTATGTTGTTCTTCACTAGATATCGTAACTTCGATTTGTGCATCTGAAAAGTACAACAGAATGTTTACCAGAGAACTAACTGTGGAGAGAAGATCATTCTCTGAAATAATGTATAACTAGATAATTTACATTTAAGTGCTATGTATTGAATTAAAATTATTTAAAGATGGTTACAAAAAAAGTACAAAGCCTAAATGTTATGCAAACACAGAAAATCCCAAATCAAGTGTAAAGTCTATTAGATAAACAATAAATATTTGACTAGATAACAACCGATAAAGTTTCAAGACTTAAAGTAATTATATTTAAAAAAAATATGAAATATAATTTAATATGACATACAAAATTTATTTTAATTACATATCAATTTAGTTTTTTAATGACAAAAATATTGTTTATAGCTTAAGTGTAAAAATCCATGATTATTTAAAACAAAAGCTAAATTAAGTTAATACATAAAACTCAGTGGCGAAGCTACTTATGAATAAAGAGACATTGTTTACCAAACATTTTATATAAACTAGGCCCATGTACATACTTATAAATATATGATTAATAATACATGGATATTAGGCAGGTTTTTAATTTAGAAGTTTCAAAATATTTATTTTCAGGACACCTCTTTTATTTAATTAATATAAGTAATTCAGGTTAAATTTGGCGATGATGGCCCTATTTTCGTGTCTCATGATTGTTAAAAGTTTGCAAAATTAGTTAGTTTTATAGTTTTTCATATTTAATTGAAAATATATACATACAAATATATAACACATTATTTGTAAATTATAATAAAAGCTATGAAAAATTCTTACACAAGAAAAATAAAAAACCAAAATATTTAATTTATTTAATATATTGAAAATAAGTTAGTTGTTTTGTATAAAAATATATAAAATTGTATTTCTTATAAAAAAATAATTAGCAAAAATCATAAAAGAATTAACTGTTTTATTGTTAGTCATATATATGCAACTTATGGTAGTCTACTATTTAAATACCACTAATGATTAAATAAAATGCATAGAATTTGTGTGTTCATTATTAAAATAGTGATATATACTTTTTTAAATTATTTTTAAAGAAAAATAATGGATTTCGAAAAATTGTGTAAGGACATTTTTATAATTAATATTATAATTTACAATTCAGGTCATATACGTTTATATAGTTATTGCTACATATTTTCATTCAAATTCGAAAACTATAAAACTACCCTCTTTTGCATATTATATACCTTTTTCGACAAGAGAAAGGGTTTCATCATTCCAAATTTAACCTAAATTACTTTCTAATATATGAAAAAAATATGTAAATGTTGAAAAAAAAAATATGAAAGTTCAAAAATAAGGACTTAATGAGTATAATATAATTTATACACACAAGATCTAAAACCTGAAATAACTTTTATTCTGTTCAATATTTCGAAGTTTTCTAGTAATAATTACTAGAGCCTTGAGTTATGATTCCTCTATTTTACATTTTTAACTAAAAATACAAAATCTAAATATTTAAAAAATTGTTTTTACATCTTATGTAAATCTTATATGGGTAGCCATTTTATAAATATGTTTTGAACAAAACATGTGTGTTTCTACAATTTACTTTATTCTGTATATACATTTGTACACATATAATTATAATTTATTGTTGCTTTATTAACAATAAAAAAAATATAATCAGTATATAATATAATATTTACATACATACAATAGCGTATTGGCAGAGTGATGAACTATTGCCACTCAGGGCCTTGGAGAGAATATTCTTCCAGTGTCTCTAAAATAAAACCTGGCAACCCGTTGGGCACTGAAAGAGAGCCGTGCAAGCATAAATAAGAAAGGTGTCTCATTAACATTTTTTATACTAGTTATATTATGGAATTGTTTATATTGTTAAACACTTTTTTTATCAGTACAAAGATATAAATATAGTATAGATATACTATATTAGGTATACTACATAGGTATGTAGTTATTTATGGGTATTTATATATGAGAGCACCAGGACTTCGGACAAGTTGCAGTCATTTTGTAAAATATCATTGCAACAATGTATCAAGATTTTGTTTTACCACCAAAACTTTGCATATTGCAATAAATCTAGTAGTTTAAATAATATTATAGCCAATTATATATAAACTAACTTACAGATAATCAATAAAAATTATGTACTACTTTATTATCTACTAAGTAAGAACATAAATGAACTAGTCATTTGAAAAACAACATATGTCATAAATTCCATATTTGTGGAAAACAACTTTAAACTTTATAGTAAACTTAAAGTAGAACACAGGTACTAAAAAACGACATGATTTGTGTAAAGTTTCCTAAACCAAAATTATTCCATTAAAAAATGTTAACTACAGTATTTGGGTGGTATTATAGGTGTTTAATTTTTTATTTGTTTAACTTAAACTTGTTTCTAAAATTTATGATTTGATAGAGTTGGAAAATAGTAAGCACTAAATTTTGAAACCATATATTAATTATTTAATTTATTTTACATTAGTTCTAAAAATATTTTAAAAATTAATTTTATATTTAAAAAAAAAATAACATGTTTTATAACATCAAATTAATGTTGAAATATTAAGGTATGTATTAAATAATAATTTTCTTACTTATCCTATGTGATGTATGTTGTTTCTCTTTTCATTGAAATTTAAAATAACCAATTCTTAATGGAAAAATGTTAGTGACTTGTGTCATTTTTTGTGGAACACAAATTTTATTTTGATTCCGTTAAATAGCGACTAATGTTGTTTCTCAAATGGCACATGTTTTTTTTAATTATTATACTTTAATAAAATAATTGTAAATAACAAACATAAGTAAAGAAATGGTTATCCTCAATGGTGAATTGGGAAAATTGATATTGGAAATGTAGACATCATTAAATCTGGCCACCCAACTATATTTTAAACGTGAACAAGCTGACAAGCTCGATAAAGACACCTCCCCTTTTTGGCCTCTATAGATGTAACGCTCACAGTATCATCATTTTACGAGTATATAAATTGTTTATTCAAGTGTTTGTAGAACATAAATGTACACAAAATATAGTTCTTATAGTTCTGCCCTGGGCTCACTGAACCAGTCTTAATTCAACCTTGACCGATATGATACTACGGTATACCACAGATATCAAAAATACAAGGAACAATGATACTTAATATTTTAAATAGCTTTATATATTATACTAGTGTTACCCAACTTTGCCAGTGCCCAGTATTGAATGGGAAAAAAAAACTAAAGGTGTCCCCCACATAGAAATAATTGATTATAGCATAAATATAATTTTTTTTTCCCACATAGATACTACATGGATATTAGAAATAAACAAAAAAAGTGCAATTTATGTATTTTAAGAAAACATTTCCTGCGTCAGCTTTATTTAGAAGTTAAATTTCCATTAAAATCATTCTAAATACTCTTGGATCTAATAAGAACAAACCATGAAAATATACCAATAAAAAAATTATATTTGTCTACGTAAATTTCTAAGCTTTGCCACTGATAAAAACTTATATACAAAATTTAGATAAAGCAATTCATATGTTACAAAAATACAAAGTTAAATACACACAAATTCTCAATAATTAATAATCAAATTTACAAGAAAAAAAAATTTGTATGTAACTTTTTAGCAAAATTATTAATTACGGCATTTAATTAATCTACAATCTATAAACACATTATTTTTTTTTTATTATTCAAGTAAATCAAAAAAATTTTATTTCAGAAAAAACTATACTCATTTAAAAAGATAAATATAGGTATGTTTATTTAGTTTTTTAGAGAAAATTAAAACCTTATTAGATTCAAACACAAAAATATTTTAAATATTAATGTTTGTTCAACTATGTCCAAACATTTTGATTTGATAACTTTAGATCCTTAATAATAATTTTAATGAAAACAAACCTTTATTTGTTAATTTTGTTAAGTTTTTTGAAAAATATTGTATACAGAAAAGGGGGAAAACTCAAACAATAATTAATTTGAAGATAGCCATTGAAGAAAAGTTATGTTCAGATATTATTTCAACATGATTGGCGTAGTTGTATATCATTTTTCAAATGCAACATATTATTCTAGCAAAAGGTTATTTACAAGAAAAAATATATTATTAATTATTTTGTTGTGGAAAAAAAACTAGCTGTGTAAATAGAATATATGTTTTTTCTGAATGAACATATTTATTATTGTTTCAGCTTTTAAACTAATAAGAAAACTATACAAATATATTATTTGATGCATTTATTTACCTCGTCTCAATTGGTTGAAATAAGCAAGCATACGCACTATTAATGATGGTGACACGGTAACTGTATCTTTTGATTCTTCTATCATTATTTTATTTCGTTTAACAAGCTAAAATAAAAAAATTAATTTCATTGATGAAACATAATCCATATGAAGAAAAGCACACTAGAATAATACTAATTTCTTGATTTCTATAAATCATTTGTACCTTATATTTTTAATTTAGTAAAAAAATGTGTAGGACAATGTTCACAAAAAAGGGTATAAGTTACAGATGGTCAAATTTTACATTATACATAGATTTTGTAAGAAATTATATAACAGATCAATTGTTGCAACTGAAATTTGTTTCCTTTTTAATATAATGAACATATCTTGATATGTATATAACATATGATTTATGCCTAATAAGTCAAGATAGGAAAATTTGAAGGTTCAAAAGGGTAAATAAATCTATAGTGCATATTTATTTTTGTCCCCTGAAACATGTTTAAATTTGATTTATACCATTTTTCACAAACACCATCCGTATTTATATTAATTTTACCTCATCAACTTGAAGTTGAGAAAACATATTATTACCACGAAGCGGACTCCAAAGTTTAACATTATGATCAATACCAGATGTAGCGAGTATAGGTCTGGTAGGGTGTGGTTGAACACAATTAACAACGTGAGCATCTGCTGTCAACAACATGACTATTTCACAAGTATAACGATCCCATACAAACACATGTCCACAATCACTACCAGACATAATAAAATTATTGCCCCAGAATACTGCTTCTTTAATTAAAGTTCTATACATTTATATAAAAAAAAATTAGTAATATACACCATAATAACAAATGGTTAAAAATGTATTTCTATTGCAATATATTTTTTTAATTTAAAATACCTAGCATTTCGATGGCCTTTGTATTGTCCTTTTAATGGTAGAAGTGGAACATTATCATCAAATCCCGGAGACTCAAAAGTTGATTTCGATTTTATTCTTTTTGGAGCTCTTTGATTGTTGCTATTTGAAGCAGACTGCTCAATGTTATTAGAAGATACACTATAATTATAGTTGAATAAATAATAAGTGATTAGTTAAAATTCAATGCAGAAGGTGGTTCCTATAAAAATTCATACACAGTTTTTAGTGCCAAGCATTCATAGTGATTTGGAAATACTTTTATATTAAATTTTAAAAATATCAATTTAATGATTATTATAATTCTCATATGTAATATCATTGATTTTAAAAATTAGTATATACATTCAATAGTAGTATAAAAACATGACTGAACACATAGCTGAATTATTTTGTAACTGCCATCACATTCAAATAAATTAATTTTAAATCCAAATTGATAAATTCAGGTAGTAGGAAATGGATATAAAATAAAATACATAATAATAAGGTGAAATATTTAATATTTATATTATTGGCTATATCCAATGACTATAAGTCATCTATCAAATAAGAGTTATTTGATACAGGTAACTTACCCTTAACTTTATTCGAGAAATAAGGTTATTTTGGCATTTGGTTACTTATGTTAGGTATATTTAATGCAGTAATTTCCCTCTGGCCTTTTGCATCCTCAAGCTATTGACCAAAATATGATTGATTCATCCACCTCTCTATAAGGAAGTTTATCACCTCGAGAACAAGAAATTGCTTTTTCTACTCATCTGGAGTACTGTTGGCTTTGCAGAGTTGATTTCTTATATCATGAGATTTTCGGTATTCTTATTAGTTACCTTTTACAACTAGGAGAACAGCCCATGATTTTATACTTAACCGAGTACCACGTAGTAATCATAGATGGTTATTAAAATGTAAAAAAAATAATTTTTAAATAGTTCAAAACTGAAGAAAATTTAGTAATTGATTCCTGGCCCCTTAAACTGCATTTCAATTTAAATTGTTCAAAAATTTACTATTACAACTTTTCACATAAAATAGTGACATTATGTGCAGTTTTTCTACGATAATTTTTAAAAATTAATTTCTTTTTTGTAAACTGAAAAATAATAAATATTATAAAAATATTTAAACTTACTTTTCATTAACTACAGATTCAATGCCAACCTCCATGGAATGTTCACCTTGTTCATTTTCTAATGGAGTCCGTGGTTCAATGTTGTTGAAATTGTTTAAACTGCGTTCAATAACATCTGGTAATGGTGATGAAAATACACTATAATTTGGTCTCCCTAAAATGTTGTAACTTTATTTAAAACATTGTTAATTTATAAATATAAAATAATGATTCATTTACAGTTTTGCATAAGACCGTTACGTAATGATGGTGTGTTAAATACATGAACTAACATGTCGCTCATCCGTGTCATAACTGCAGATTGCATTGTTGATCTCATTGAAGATTCTATATCAATAATAAATCATTTTCTTCAAACATATATAATAGGTGCATTCTAGATTATAGTATTCAGATATTGAAGTAAATTAAGGGATAAAACTAGAGACCATAAATCCACCTAATACAGACCAAAGAAAGTGTTATTTATTGTTATCACAAAATGTTTTTAAATCATTTATCTCCCCATATCAGCCACAATATTGCAATGAATAAAATAATTAAAATTTGATTTATTCATTTGCAATACAATAATATTGTATTATCTTTGAGATCTTATTTACCTTTCCAAAAATGGGTATAATTCCGATTATATATTTAACAAATTAATACATACCAGATGGCCGAGATGAGGGTCCAGTGTCTGCCCAATCACCTCTCAATCGTATTCGTCTAAATGGAGGTGGACATGGTGCATTTTCTAAAAAGTCATTTGCAACTGCAGTTGTATTAGGATCTTTATTGAGGCTAAACAAATATACTTCTTCATTGGCATAGCTGGCTAACATATCTCTACCATCTGGTGAATATGAAAGTGATGTTATACGATAGGAACGATGATTTAGTTGAGGAACAGTAAAGGAATATTCCGGAGTAATTTTTTGAGTTGGATCTAATAACAAACAAAATAAAAATCATTAATACTTATTTGTAAAATATTTATAAATAAAAAAATAATAATATATGGTTTAATTTTAAAAAAATGCTTTCTTATTATAATATAGACGATTTATTCAATAATTTTATTTTAATAGTTGAAATTGATCTGTAAACTATTTTAAATTTTATCAAAATAGTTCAGGTGAATAAAAATATTATACATTTTTAGACACATAAAATAAAAGAATATTTAGTTTTTAAAAATAATAAAGTAAAATGGATCCTATAATAATTAATATAAATTAGCAATATATTGACATATACACGGTGACAATACTGCCATGAAAGCATTTCCATACAATTCCATAACAGTTACTGTCATTGGAGAGGTACTGTTTACACATGAATGCAAATTAATACACAGTCGAGATAACTATAAGCTATTATCACTTATTATTTTAATTTATTATTATATGTTTGAAATATTCATATTTATTTAAAATCCATATTTCATATTTCTATTACATTAATTGAAATACTACTCATAGGTACTAAGCCTAGTTCAAGATAAATAGTGAAATACACCAGTCATGAACAGCCCGCCCAGCGTAGTTGATTCAAACAAACTATTATAGTCTAATAGTTTCTACAAGTAGAATTATTAGTGAATTAATTTTTAAGTTTTTGCGACATGATAGTTAGACTGGTGGGTGCTGAATCAATTTGTTTTCTTAGTTTTAAAATTTACCCCTAATTAAAAGTAATAAGGACTAATTTAAAAAAGAAATGGTGGTCAAAATAACTTAAAACACGTTAACATAAAAGATCATAGATAAAAATACAAAGAACAAATGACTTAAGAATTTCAAATACTCTCATGAACAAATCGAACTCTATTACAACACAAAAAGTTTAAATTTTAAATGTATCACAGTTAATGTTAATTTTGTTAATAAATACCTTGTATATGATATGTTTTAGTGTTATATGAAAAATGTTAACACAATAACATGGTCATATAATGGTGGTAATATTGTTAACCATCCAGTTCATCTAGGTAGTGAAATAGTACTACTATTTTGATTTACACAAGAGTTCCACAAAAGGTATTGTCACCATGTAAATGCATCTTAAATACTCTTTAATGTGTATTTAAATATTTAAAAAATAAATGTTCTTACATTAATTATAATATGTTATACCTAATACTGGTAGTTATAATTATCATAAGCAAATAAATACAGCAATTAATTACCATGAATAATCATTTTTCTTCTATCAACTATTCTGACAACACTATCTATGGTTGCAATTGCAAGTTGATATGGTTGAATTGGATTTATTGCAATAGTAGAAACTGCTTTACCACAATCAACCAATATATTCTGTATGAATTTGATAAATAAAAATTAATATAATAAATATAATCAAATAAAGTCTCATTTACTTCAATACAATTCTTTTTAGTGCACTTATCAATACTTCTGAGATCAAATTGGCGAACAGTACAGTCTTCACTACAACTTAAAAACGTATTTGGTTCACCTGGTATTACTTCTAATTCATAGCATGGGCCATCATGACAATTGAAAAAGTTGAATTCTGTTCGTTCAAGTCTTTTCAAATCTAAAAAAAAATAAAGTAGAATTCAAAATAAGTATATTATAGGTAGATATATAAGAAATTGGTTTTATTTTTACTAAACATTTTTAATAAATAATATTTAAAAATCTGACTAAATCATAAATCCATTTTGATATGTTTGAGTAAATTTATGTTACATAATTTTATTATAGGTACAGTTTTGTTTCTACAGTCACTGCAAACAGCAACTGCTGTGACAGTTGCACATAATCTATACATAATCTTATGGAACCGACTGCATTCATGAGACGATCGCATGTGCTGCATGCAGTCAACTGCAGGACCGTCTATAATATTTCTTCCACATCATACAAAATAAAAGTTTAATATTTTGACAATAGTTTACTACAAACTTTTTAATGTAATGCCTAATACACATAAGGGGCTTAAGTGCACATTATTATTAGTTTTTTAAATGAGTTATTTTTGTTTTTTTTGCTGATTTTTAAATATTTAAATTTTATTGAGGAAATCATTATTAAAGAAGCTATAACAAAAATACTTCAAAAACTTCAGCATAGACGCAATTTAGCACCAGTGATCATTTTTCGATTTTTTCAAAATGTGTGTTTTAAGGTACTGAATCAAAAAAAATGTTTGAAAAATTCCAAAACAATCTCACAGAAGTCACCAAAGTCCTAGTTTGAAGTAACCAAATTATTTTGAAAATTGAAATTTGTAAGAGACATGGTATAGTGCACTTGTTCTCACATTAAGAACCAATATCTTGAGTATTTGTTTTCTTTGGATCTTAGTTTATTTAAACACCAAAATCCATTCATTCTTTTGGATCTTTTTTATTTTTACATAGGTATTTTTTTGTTTTATTACAATAATATTAATTTTTAATTAGTAGATACATAATAAATATAAAACAAGTTACCAAGGCTGAGAATAGATCCATCTCCGCCAGATGAAATAATACGGTGGTCTGTAGTAGGTAGAAATTTCGCACACAAAATATTGGTTTTATGTTGCGTTTTATAATGAACAATAAGCTCATATGTATATGGATTTGTTATAATAATAGTTTTATCATCACCAGCTGAAAGTAACAAACTTCCAGTTTCATTCCAATGTAAACTGTTTACACAACCATTATGTTGATCCAACACTTTTTCTAAGGCTAACCGTTGTACTAAATGCTTGCTATCTATAAATTAAAAATTAAAAATATATTTGAATAAAAATGAACAGACAGACAAACTGTGTGATTAATAAATAATGATATATAACAACAATAGATATAACAGTAGCAATCTTAATATATTTTTACATAAAATTTTAGAAACAAGTAGAGCGATTATTGAAAAATAATTTAATAGTAAATAGAAATACTTAGAACAAAGATACTTAAGTACTACACTTATTTTAAAAATAATATTATTTTCATACAGAAAATATAACAAATAACAATACTGCACAGATAATCTCTCGCAACTAACCAAATGAATTAGGTAGTTGTGAAGACCTCTCTAGAATATACTCAGGAAAATAAATTACAAATAAAATAAAATAAATTATTAATAACAAACAGGTTACCTATTATATTGTATAACCTGTATAATAAGTATTATAACGTATAAAAACTAAAAACACTACCTATTTAATACTAAACGCAAATATGCTAATTACTAATAACTCTTACATTTATAACATAATCTGCATACATAATTCTGTATGTACCTGTCTGCATATACCTAATTTATTTATAAGTAGGCACCTACTTATTAAACAAAATAAAAACTGTTAAAAAACAGTCATTGTAAGAGTTAGTCAGAAGTACCTATTACTACCAGTAAAACTAGCGATTGTCCAACGTTCTATGGGGAAAGGAAGGCTTACTTTTGACGGAGTTTTGCAACTTCAAATTGTTCTTATCGTTGTAAGGTTGGAAGAACACGTTCCTGAACATTCCATTGGTTTGAATCATGGCGAGTGGTCAGTATTGATTGGATCAATTCAGAGTATTTTCACAGCCACTGCTGATTGTTAACCACAGGCGGCGTGCGAAACTGCGACAATAAACAATCAGTTACAAAGGATGGCCAGTTGCCAACGTCGAATGCATCTCCTTGTTGACGTCGACCGCTTTAAATAACTTTCATAGCTCGAACTCCGATAATTTTGGATACGTCCGCTGTCGTAGTGGTATTATTCTAATATTATAAGGCCCGAGCCGGCTAACTAAAAGACACGTTCATTGAATTGGACACGAAAATAATTATAGGTTTGTAATAAACACGACTACGCGAAATGGATCATTAATTTCGAGGATGCCATACGCATGCAGACGGTAAGGAGAGCTAGTCAAATAGTCAACGGAAAAACGGTTATCTAATATTTATTCTTAATATAATATAATAACATACTATCATAGACACGAATGATTTATGTGTCTATGTAATATATCATCGAAGATAAAGACGAGATTTATTTAGAAAAATATTGGAAAGTGGGCACGTTAAATAGATTTTATACGCAATTTCCCAGGACATTATCGCCAGCATATTTATTTTATCAACTATGACTGTGAACCAGGTATTCGGTAACCGACAGTACTCGGCGGTGTCTGTCTCTGTCAGCTGTTGCTGCACCGACCGTCTCGCTACTGACTCCGTGTAGACAATAAATACAGCTGTCAAGGTCAACTTTACTGACAAAAGCGAATAGTCACCACCTCTCTGCTGTTGTTTCCATTACGTTCAATCGGTTATGCCCGTTCGTCGACCGTCGGTCCGTCCGCCGTTGTCAGTTTGGTTTCCGTGAGGACGGATTTCGCGCCAGTCATTAACCACACACCACACGGTGATTGCGACCGCTACGCGCAGTATTTCCGCCAGCCGAGACCAAAAATCGTGTCGGGCGGTAGACTGTGTCCAGTGTTTTATTGCAAAATAATTACAATATTTTTTATTCGTCTTTACCCAAAGTAGGATAATATCGCCGAACGGTTGCTGTATTCGTGTCTTGAACGATTTCACGCCGTTACGTCACGATCGTCTTTCTTGGGTCTAGGGCCGAGTACTTAACTCAAAGGGTTTTTTCGCGGTCACCCGTTGTCCCGTGTGCGTGCGCTTGCTTGAAGCGACGGCGGCCGTGATTCCCGTACTAAACGCAACGTTTCGACAAACGTAAACACGGCTCTCCGGACGCGTGTCTCTCGGCTGCTGACGACATGTCATAGTGATAGGTCGGAAGACAGCGAATGTAATATGAACGATATTGTAACGATTGCAGCTTCGGTGTTTTATTCGGCCAGGGACGGACGATTGAAACGATTACAGGTGAGCAATACCCACTTGAATGTATTCCGTACCTATCCATTATGTAGATATTATGTAAAAATTGTACTTCCGTCATTTACCGATAACTTTGAGTAACTTACAATCAAGCATATAGGTACTTTTAGTTATTCGTCGGTTACGTTATGAATCTGCCACCGGTGGTTGGATATTACAGTACCAGGTACTTAAGTATAATCGCTGGCGAAAATTCCACTCTGGAATACCTGTGTATTATCGGTAACACTTGATCAGGGTCACTGTACTCCGAGGTCGTTGATGGGTCTTGACCCGATCGTTAGGTATACATCCTGGCTTTTTGTTCTGTTTCATTTTAATCGGATTTCGGTTGAGAAATTTAAAGGTACCTATTGTCTATAAGTACCATCGCTTTTGTTGATTGTAAATACCTAATTTAGCTAAATTAATTTGCTATCAGCATTAGTGATCATTGACATTGTATTATTGTTATCACCCCATTTTCCACTTCATTACTCTCGACTGTTCTAAATCTTTAATCTCGTCCGGCCCTATCACATTTAATTCGTAATATACTTTGTTCATTATTATCTATAATTTATCCATTTTCCCAGTCTCCCAGATGTTTTCCATTTTTATTAATTTGCATTATCATTTGTTTAGGTACCTATTACCTACATATTATATCAATATTTAAGAGATTATTTAGAAATGTTTTTAACTATAGGGGCAAAATCTATAAATTAGCAAACAAGTCTTGCCTAATAATAAATAAATGAATAAATTATTAATTTAAATTCATTGTTGATTAGAATATTTAAATGCTATTCTTACGGGTACTCAACCTAACCTATCACCTATTATATAATTAGGCATAAGTTTCGAATTAATGATTTCTTAGTATTAATATGTTTAATGAATTTATTATTATATGCCTACCTAGTTTTAATCTCGGTTTAAATTGAGGTTATAGGAGAGAGTAAATAACTAATGGAAATCAGTGTACAAATGTTTGGTAATCTTGCAGAAAATCATATAGATAACTTGGTAGTTATTAGGAAAAATGTGATATTCTAGAATCGGCTGTGCACAATGTTTTATATGAATCAATGATTTACTCTAGTGTTCACATTTCTAAAATAGGTACATATTATCAATATACGAAAATGTTTATCATAAATTAAATGATATTGTATTGTACATCTTTTTTGGGAGAAAACTAAATATAGGTTTCTAAATTATTTTTTTCATAGCTAAACAATAATCACTTCTAATGTTAATCTTAATTACTTATAGGTTATAGGTGCATACTAATTAATTTCAATTAAACATTTAAATATAATAACATCATAGTATTTACCTAGGTACCTATAACTTTTAAATTACAGATTAAATTAAGTTACTTATAGTTTTCTAGTAAGTACTTCCCTATCTAATTTTTTTTTATTTAACATTTTTTACAATCTCATTTAAGAAGATATAGTTGTGTAGATTATTATTGTTTTTTTTTTTTATTATTTATTTTAATCAATTTGATTAGGCTTTTTTTCCAGTTATTCTCCATTGATGAAAAATAAATTACCAAAGAAAACAAAGTGGTATTGTCTAGGCAACTAATTTTGTATGGGTACATTGTTTAGTTGTAAAAATTTAAATGTAGATAGGTACACATTACATGTTATTTGATATTTCATCTTTCATATAGGAATAATCTAGGGAATAATATAGATCTACTACCTATACTAAATTACTAATTTTATTTACTTACCTACCTACTTAATATTATTTAAATATAAACCTGCTTAACAAATACTTATATTAATAAGTACCTAAAGATGTAAATAGAGACGGTGCTAGGGGGTCTTTAGTACCCCCCCCAAAAAAAAGAAAAAACAAACAAGCTTTTTCATAATAATGACTAAATATTTTGTCTGTGTATTTCATAGTAGTGTAAAGTATAAATTTCATTACAGACTAAATTAAAAAATTGTGATTAATTTCTATAATGTACAAATGCAATGTTTTTGTTACTTATTGTAAGAATCGTGTATAGGGAATTGTGTTTGCGAATATGTAGGTTGGTACCTACTATAAATATTTTAAATTTACTCTAATGATGTAATATCTGATTGTTATTATTATTTACCTACCTTTCTATTCTTCATAATTTCTTTAAACATCACCCAATGTTAGTAAGTACTAGGTATGTACTAAACTAATCACATATTTTAAAGTAGATTAGATAATCAAAAACATTATGTATCTAAGTAAAATTGTTTATTTAGGTATATTTTTTTAATTAGCAATATGTTTACTCAGATGATTTTTAATTTTATTTAATAATATAAAACTTCAAATAAAATATATTATTATTATCCCATCATACAGCGCTTTCCAAATTGCTTGTAATAATATTGTGATAAGGTGAAAACCTTGTAGTAAAAACATTGTTATATTTTCTCACACATTTTGCCAACAAATTATGATTTAAATTAGTCGACCTCATATTCTTAGGTATTTCATATGAATTTATTATAGTTTTCTAGGTTATAGAATTAAATATCAATCCTAGTGGCATTGACAATTTTATTTAAAATGATCTTATACTATATGTCCACTTCTAAATTGTGATACATTTCCATAGTTTGTAATGCAGAAAACGACCTTATTTATATTTTATTCATAGGTAGTCTAAGTATTTTATACATAATCTTATATTGCTAAAAATTAAAATAATATTTGGCCATATCTATTTTATACCTTGTTTTTTGTTATAATTGCTTGGAGTTTTAAAGTATCAATATAAAAAACAAAAAAAAAACTATTTTTATTTCCCTAAATGCATAATAATTGAGTTAATTATATTTATTTATTCAACAGGTTGGTAAATAATTATACATAGGTAACCATCCTGAAAGTGTTATTTATCTACCTACACGAGTTTTGGAAATAGTTTTTAATTTTGTACGCAAATAATATCTTTTAAGTCTTGCAGGGGTAGGTAACACTTATGTATATTTTTTTTAGAGTAAAACTAAAACCTTCTTTACAATAATTTCAATGTGATATTTAATAATAAAAAAAAAAAAAAAAATGTAAATAAAGGGTATTGAATAATAACAATATAGTTATGGTACCTGCCTTGAATTTATGAATAATGTATTATTGTTATTTTGTATAATGTATACAGAAAAAAAAATAAATAAATAAATCTGTACTCGAAACACCGTGCGTTTATCCTGATTTTGTATTCCCGGTATATTAATCCGCACGTATATATACCTAACATAATAATTTATTTGTGCAGTACCCATGGGTTTTTTTTTTTTTTTTTTTCGGTAAACAAATATATAATAAAAAAAAAATAATAATTATAACAACGTTTAAAAGTATACGCGCGAGCAAAATGCGTCATAAATTCGATTGGTAAATAACGAGTATATAGTAAAAAAAAAAAAAAAAAAACCAAACGTCATATTATCATTATGACGATGTTGATGATAGAGGGTAATAATATTATTGTGTTTTTGGCGGAAAACAAAACCGCGCGGGCCAAACGTAATCGTCCGGTGGTGGGTGTGCGTTTTTGCGGGAAATAATTGGAATAATTTTCGGACGGTCGATTCGTAACGTTTTCGCGTGCGGTCCCGACGGCGGCGATAGTGTTACAATATTGCGCGTCGACGAACAAAAAACAACAAAAACAAAATTGCGCACCGCAAACCGGCGGCGGCGGTCGGGTTAAAATCCTCGGTTTTTTTTTTTTTTTTTTTTTTCACGACCACGTGACGCGCGACCGTCCGCCGCCGCCGCGAGTATTTATATATTCGACAATATCAAAAAAAAAAAAAAACCGAGAGGAGGGACGCGCGCGCGCGTGTGTGTGTGTACTGTTGTTGCGCAAATATTATTCGGAAATTATCGCGCGCGTAAATAATATAACAAGTTTAGCACCGCGCGCTGGCGAGGCGGCGCGCGCGCTCGTAAACTGCGTACGTTTTCCGCGTCTTATTTGCGCAGCGCGAAAATATCGGAAACTGGTCGGGCCGCCGCGGGTAAATGAATACGACGCTAAACGCGCGGAATGGGCGGAGTGTTCGGATTGGATTCGAGAAAGACGAAAATCGAGGGTGATAATCATGAAAACATTAGGTCTCCGGTAAACGAATGTTAATGACAATAATAATAATAATTACGTATTATACGTTCGATCACAGTTTCCGCCGGGCCTTTTGCGAGTTATTATAACCGCGTTATGGGTGCTCGAGGAATATCAACACGTTAATATGTTTGTCTTTGGCCTTTGTTTAAAAACGTTCGAATTCGAACGTGTGTGTACGCCTTCTGGCGTTTAGCGATTCGCGTGTAAACCTCAATACCGGGCATTAACGAGGGAAAAAGTTTCAACTGGTTTAATTTTTTTTTTTTCTACAATTAATTTACCCCCTCGTGTTGGCTAGTGGCAATCTCTATGAAAACCGATGTTTTTTTTCCCCACGACAACCTAATAAGTCGGACGTTCGACGATTTTTGTTTTTTAAGAGTAAATTTGTTTAATTGGTTTTTTCGCCGGATTGTAAACTTTGCATTTATTTTTTTATCAAATATCGACCGATTTAATCTCATGAGATTAGTCATAGCCAAATAACTCGGTATTATTTTATTCACTCGTGTATCAGTTATTATTTAAAAAATCTGTTTACCATCGTTTATTCACTAAACCGCTCGTTCCAGTTTATTATTATATTTTATTAATAGTCGTTAGGTTAAAATTTGAATAACATGTTGTTTTCGACACGTATACAATACATGTTATTCATACCCGTTATCATAGCTAGATTGGTGTCTATTATACGAGTATCTATACTTATAAAATTTAAAAAAATAAAAAAAACTATAATTTACGTCGTTTATTTATTTTTTTGCTGCGAAAATTAAATAATGTTATCTGCTTAAACGAAATTAACATTCAATAGTAACGCAAGAAATAACAAAATTTTGGTGTGTGTACAATGCGTACGATTCGTGGTTTTGTATAATAAAATATCATTCTCGTAAAAAAAAAAAATAAAATTAATAATAATAAAACGGGCTATAGGTCGTAGTACTGACCCCGGTTCTATATGCCTATAATATTTATCCCGAGTTATAGAATAGCTATGCGTTATGGAAGATAAACGTTTGATAAGAACATTCAATTTATGCAATTTTTTTTTTTTTGTTTTACAAAAACTATATAATAATAATGTATATTAAAATAATATTCTGACCGCGCGGTTTCCCAATTAGTTGTAATTTAATTTTGAAACGCTAGTTACACTAGATAATATTTGAAATATTGTGGGTAAAAATACGTTAAAAATGTCGCTTGACTGATAGAAGAGTTCGATTTATTTTGTTTATAATTGACATCTTACGCTAAGATTCATAAATTCAATTTCCAAATTTTAAGCCAAGTGTGTATACTGGTTTTTTTTTTCTATCAGATTTTCTTTTCGTAGTATTATGTTCATTAGAATTTAATAATGTTCCCCGATTTTGTTCAGATTATTTAAATGATTATTAAGGTCGAGAGCTCCGGTTTTTAGTAGTTTTTATTATATTATTTAAATAATAGTTTTTAATGTAAGATCATTATATCGAAATCAAATACACTGCTATTCTTTTTTTCGAATTAAATATTTTAAATTATACCACTTATTCAGGCTCTTAAAAATAAATTGACGATTTTGATAAATCAATCCTATTATTTGATGGTTGGAAATATTGTTTATTTACCAAGAGAATCGTTATACTTGTACAGTGTGTTGCATTTGAATTACAATTATGGAATGAGCGGAATAAATATGAAGAAACTGAAAGATGCTATAATGAAAAATAAGACAATCCTTTATATTTTGGAACTTTTTTTCCCCTTTTTAAGATAAAAAAAATACTTACATTATTTTGATAATAAACTTTTAGTATTTTCGCACAATTTTCTACTTGCCAATAAATCACTTTTCTTTTTATAACCTTTTTATACTCATGATAACGATAAATACATTATTGTTAAATATAGTAAAAAGGTATTGAAATAGTATTGTCTAACAATTCGTAACTATATGTAAACACGAGAGGTAGTCAGAAATGAGAATTTATTCTTACTAAAAATGTTAAATAACCGAAGAATTTAAGTAACCTAATGTTTTAGTAACATTTCAATAGATATAATTTTATCAGCTAATAATCATTGACATTAAATATACCGTTGATGCCAAACAATTTCCCAATGTTATTTTAAAATTATATAAATATCATAAATCAAAACCACAAAATATAAATATTAAATATTTGTTTCATAATTTTAATAATATTTGTTTTGATATGCGTCGAAAAAAAACTTCGCTATTTTCCTAACAACTATACCCTTGACCTTAAATAATCTGAAAAAATTAAAGAACATTATTAAACTTAAATTAATGCAGTATCATGAGAAGAATATCTGATAAAATAAAAAAATATGAAAAAACCTAATGTATACCCGTAATCAATAATTATTAAGTGGTAGCGATTTTGTTATACCTTAGATCTCTTTGGATTTTTTTTCAGAATTGTATGATATTGGTCTTTTTAAACCATATACTGTATATCAAGAAATAACATTGTATTGTATTATATTATCACTCTGATTATTACAGTGTAGAAGGTGGTGCAGTTAGGATCAATAATATCATATATATGATAGGTTTCGCTTGTCAATGTGTAATATAAGTAGCGGAGCTAATTCGTCTGATAGAGTTCAATTTATTTTTGAAGATAGTATTGTTATACATACATAAAAAAAAAAAAAAAAAATAGGTAACATATCTAGTGAAATCATATAAATGATTTATATTTTTGTTGTCGAATGGTGAAAAGAAGATGGCGAAACTCTTCACGGGTTATAGGTATATTGATTGGTGCACACTCGAAATTATTGTCTCCTGATGGTTATTACCCTCGATTTGCCGCTTATTTTATCAGTTACCGCATCGAGTTGTTAACCTTTTTGCACTTTAATTTGGCGGCAGATTTCAAGAAAAATTCAACTGTTAAAAATTGATGTGTAACTGAAAAATAAATTCGATTCTAAACGAAGTTCGGTTTTACATATTGTTCTGAACGCCGTTAATTCCTACCATATTGGTTGAATATCGGAACAGGATCTAATAATGAAATGTTATCAAAATATTAAGTTTATGAATTTATAAAATATGATTTCTTATAAACATTGCTGCATTTCGGAAGACATTTACTTATTATATAATCAAATTATCTCTATAAAAAAAGATGTATTTATATAATCATAAAATATAGAAATATAACTATAGTTAGGTAATAGTATTTTATGTACTAGTCATTTTCTATTGTATTTTTCTTACTATTAAATAAAAAATAATGTAATGATAACCTGTAACGGGGCCTCAAGATCCTACTGGTGAAAAGCTCAAGTAAACTCTTCCCGTAGACGTGTGGTATTGTTTCTTATGGGTGGAGAAATTTACCTTATAATTGACAATATAATACAATACTCCCACGCTACCTCTAACTGTCAGAAGAAACGACAAATGGAGTTGTGCTAAGTCGACAGCTGTGTTAAAATCTTGTAAAATAGTATGAGGAGTTCTAAGTAAAACTAGCGAATTGCCTCATCTCGGATGTGCACGGGGATAACATGTGAGAGGAATTTCCGTGGTATATGCTAAGAGAAAATCTGAAAGAAGTTGGCTTAATAAATGGAGAATAGCACTTGAAGGAAATAGACTAAGAATAAATAGAAGTTAAATAGAGTACTTATAAAGAGTATAAGTTTAAGGAACAAGACAAGATAGCTAACGACAATAAGCGATGACCTAATAGGTAAAGTTAAGGATTTTATGTATCTAGGATCTCTTATATAGAAGAACGGTGGCTTTGACGAGGATGTAAAACATAAAATTAAGAGTGATTAGAAAGTAGAGAAAGGTGTCAAGTGTTATACGTGATAAGAGAATTCTAATGAGACTTAAACGTAAGTTTGACAAAAGTGTGGTGAAACCGACTATGTTGTATAGTTTAAAGTATAGGACGGTAGACAGAAAATAAGTGTAACAGAGATGTGAATGCTTAGGTGGGTGAGTAGAGTGAAGAGAGAAGATAAGATAAGAAATGGATACGTTAGGTGTGGCTTCGATAGTAAAAAAAATGAGAGACAATCAACTGAGTTTGGTTAGGTTAGTTTAGGCATGTCATTAGGAGAGTGGAATTAGAAGCAGTAAGAATTATAATAAAAATAGACACGTGGGAGGATAGAGGAGTAGAGGAAGACAGAAAAAGAAGTGGTTGGATTGAAAATGATATGAGGACAACTGATACATGCGATGTTGAATATCGGATCAAGTGGAGGTAAAGAACGAGAATGGCCGACCACAAATAGTAGAAATGAAGGCAAAGTAGAAGAAGATTAAATAAAAAATAATTTATAATTTTATTAAGTGAATTTTAATTTATAAAGGTATAACAATACATTATAGTTTAATATTAATAGTATCACAGGCCATACGATTATAGAAATTCTGTAAATAACTGGGTAAAACAAGGCATGCAATAATATAAGTGATAAAACATAAATGTTTTATAATATTATCATAATAGTAGAGGTTAGGTTAGGTTAGATGCGTTACTGAAGATCTATCGTATAAAATTAAGCATTTCATATGTATGTTTAATACGTATAATTCGTTTTTTATATTATACCGTGTTACACGTTTACAGTTAACAACCCTGAGTATTAGCAATGTTGACCACAAAAGTCGCGTCTGTATATACGAAATTTAAAACCAACAGTTTCTAATAATATACAGCTCGCACCAAATAAATTGGCAGAGTGTTGTGTAGCTTTAATTTTACCAGCAATTGCTCACAATGATATTTGGCACGGACTGTACATAGTGTTTTCGAAATAATATAAAATATATTTCACCTCGAATTTCACAAAATTGTGAAAAAACTATTATTAAATTTGTTGAAAAAAATAAAAATAATTATATTTTAATAATATTTGCCACGTAGAATAAATTAATAGTAACATCTTGTTAGTTTTTAGTTATTACATTATGGATTGCTTATTTTTAAAATGTAAATCTAAAATAATGTACCTATACTAAAATGTTTATTTGTTTACATAATAACTTAATACTACAATAATACTTCAATTATTATTACCATAATTTTACCAATAATATATATAATAATATGCAATATAATTATTTTAAACTAAGTAGGTATTTATATTCATATCTATTTGTAAATCGGATTTGAGTAATTTTTGAAAACAATTTTAGAATAATATGCAAAGGTTTTACTTTCGTGTCGAATCGTAATTTGTTTAACGCTAGAAATTTTTCATATAAAGATAACTATCATTATTTACTATTTACCGAATTCGTACTTATATGTAGTTACACAATTCGGTTGGGAATAACGACCTAATAAGTTTATCGATCAGTTTGATAGAAAGTTTGTTCGAACAGCTACACATACAAGAACACGTTTACTCGCAAACCTACAAGAAGACAACTTTTATTTTATTTATAAATTCTGAACGTATCGGTTTTTTTTTCTACTCTGTTAACACGACATTTCAACCAAAAGACTTGCACTTATCAACATCAGTGATGGTATAGGTGTGGTACCAAATTTTGTCGAGTTGTTGATGTATTTGAGAGGCAATTTTTTTTTGAATAATCCTATTGTACTTTCCTTAACAATAAATCCCCCCCCCCCAAAAAAAAAAAAAAAAACACTAATATTTATACAACGCGCGCCAGCTTTTTTTTTTTTTGTTAAACAAGTAAAAATTAGTAATAGACACTTCTGAATAGTTTTTCCCAAAACCGAACATTTCGAATGCGAATAACTATCGAATATATACATATAATAATAATGATCGGCTACCGGGTAGGTTTATTTGTTCATCGGCCATTATATGAATACTATAGGAATTTTTTTTTCGTCTCGTTGATAAGAGGAGGAGGTGCGAAACTTTTGAAAACTTCAAAGGGGTCATAGAATAAAAGAGGCTGGGAACCACTGATATAATATAATCATTTTCTAAACGTGGTTTAATTTTCAATTCTCTATTGCTCTTTTTTAATTATTTGTATCGGTGTTTACTATTTCTATATAGCTATATGATATTTCCGTTGTGGATAATTTGATAAAAGGTTCGTCGTTAGTCGATAGGGTAATATCAGAAATTTTTGTTTAACCTTTCTAACTTTCCACCTACACGACAGTGGCCTATACCCATTATTGAGCACAGCGTGCGTAGCCATCATAAAAACTAAACATATTATTATTATTGTTATTATTCGGACGGAAAGTGTCGTGAGGAGCAGAGAGGATGTGTGTGTGTGTGTTTAGTGTACACACATTACACACATGCGAACGACGACGATGACTACGACCAACGATTTTTTCCTCTCGCGGTGATTTTGTTGAAAATACGAGCAACAAACCTGCAGCGGTTTGTCGACTACATCCGGCATCATAATAATAATAACATGAAAATAACTCGCGTACACAAAGAAACTCGTTTTCAGAGTCGGACACTCGACGACCTGTAGCAACAGGTCCGTTGGCAATTGCAGCGGCGAAGGAAAAAAAAAACACTCGCGGCGTAAAAAAACTGCGACAATTTACCGCGTCAGCAACGAGCGACTATCGCGTGGCGGCGACCTGACCGCCACGTTTACCGCGGATTCATATGGTCCACGATTCGTATACGCGATGAATAATATTACAGGCGACGCGTAAAATATCCGAACCGTAATTCGGCCGTGGGAAACGTTTTCTGATTTCAATCGAAAATAAACGCAAAGACGCCACCCGGCTTGCCGCCATAACTTTCTTTTAAATTCGTTTATTATTGTTGTAGGTACTCTGGGAAGTTTATTGCCCCTTCCTACTACTCCGGTGTACATTTCATACTGTTATAGCTCATAAACAATGTAGTCAATAGGTACCGCGATTGTAGTGTTACTACGCATATTAAAGTTTTCGAAAAAATACTCTCTTTAATATCTTTATAATTGAAATTTTGAATCTGTATTTAAAATGGAGGGAATGTAATTATACTGATGATTTAAAGTAATTTAACATTATAAAGCTTAAGCGATTCCACAATGATTGAAAAAAAAAATAAAAAAAAATCAAATTCACTAAAAACACTCCTAGAATATTGCTGGTTTATTATAAATACTATGATCACTCTGTATAATATAAATCATTCGTGGCCCAGCGATCGCGGTGAAACTGTACGGCGGCAAGTCGGTCGCGGCGAAGTGCCCTAGACAAAAAGAAAATATGTTGTCATAACTTGATTTCATACGAAAAGTATTTCATCCAAATGATACAGATTTTTATTTTTCTGTCATCTCGGGGAGGAAAAAAGTTCGTTTCGGATAAAATATGTTTCCATTGAAATTTGATTTAGATTTTTTATAGGTCACCATATAATTTCCTAATTCTAAAACCTTATTACAAGCGGATTCAATGCCGTAACCGGAATTTTTCATTAGAGGAGGACTAAATACATTTTAGCTTGAATTATGGTCGTAAATAGATAAGGGGTTTAATCCTAAACATTTTTTTTTTCTTGAAAAGTTGTTTCGTCTATATTCATAGTTATGTACAAAAATACATTCTAATTTATACAAATTGATTTTGTAAAGAAACTAAATAATTAAATGAGAATATAGGTGTTAAATATGTATCTTAGTTTTCATTAATGATTTCTTTTTTATTTATATGAGTCATGGGTTTTAGATTAAAAAAAAAATGTTTGTAGAGCTGAAATTTTTACAGAATACTTATTAGCATTTTCAAAAAGTAGTCAGAATTTCATGCCCCCTTCGCTTCCCCCTCTACAAGTACGCCACTGATAGGTTCATATGGTTGATGCATTAACGAGATCATTTTTCGATTTTCCTTGCAATTTTCACGAGAATTGGGGAAAATGTATAGGCCAAATGGACAAATTTACGGTAATAATATATATTTATCTCAGAGTAAATGAGTTGAAAATTAAAAATACAGAAATAGTTATTAAAAACGATTATTATGATTTTACTGAAAAAAATTGTTCAATCATTTTACGTAATTTTATCTTGGAAATAATAAAATAATCGTGTTTATTTATATACGCAAAAAACCAGTTGTATAGATTATTCACCTAGTGTCGTCCTGTCGTTGGATAATCGGGTAAATAATAATGCATAATATATTATAAATATGGCTATGTATTGTTGTAAAATCAATGATCTCTGGGCGAATATAGTAATATTTTTATTAAATTTCCATAGAATCTATTGTTCAAATTTACAAATCTCTCCGATTGATACATATTCCTTATCGGTTCTTATTTTCCGCGATTTAAATTTTTGCTAGAGATAAGGTTAAGGTTAAGGGATAAGATTGCTACTTGATAATATAGGAAACATATTTCATTATGATTTTATATGCTCGGATATCTAACTTTACCTAAAAAAAATGTCGGTTTCCAACGGTCTGTCAACAGATCCATCGTTTACATTTTGAACGATAGTTTAAATCCCCCCCCCGGTCCTCGTTATAGTTCCAATAATGTAATATAACATAATATACGCTCTCGTCCAATTACAAATAGATATAGTGTACACAATACCCGATAAGAATGTTTTTTAACGATTTATTTGAGAACTTGCGTCATTTTTTTTTTCTTCTAAACACGCGCTTTGTTCTTGAAATCTATTTTGTATACGCCGTACGAGGACTTCTCTTGTGTCGAGAACCGCACAAAGCAAACACTATACAAAAAGGACTTATATACAAATATATAATATTATTAATAATAATACAAGACTGCGTATCGCGTAAATACACTATATAATATTAGGATATGGCGCAGCAGAATAATATTATTAAAGCAATAGCAATAATTCGTCCGTTTTTCGGTGTTGCCCGGGTTATGGTTATTAAGTGGCGTGTACATTAAAAACGACAAGAATAAAATGTTATACTGTGGTAAAAGACGCACAAACACGTGACGGTTGCTGCTACGCGTGCGTTGTAAATTCGCACGTGTTCCGGGCTTCTTGGCATAAAATACGGTCTCGGATAATAATTATTGTTGTGCGCCGTTGCTGCTCGGTTGCTGTTGGCAAGGTTGTTACGACAATGCCGACGACGACGGTGTCTTTTTGCTTCCTTGTTCGTTGTTTTTTTTTTTTTTTTTATATATATATACTTGATGAATCACGATTTGAAATAATAATATTGTTATATATTATACTATACTATTAAATTGCTGTTATCATCGCCTCCCGCCGTCGTATCCGCGGCGTACGAGAAGTAAAACGCAAAAAAAAAAAAAAACTGCATGTAACACGTGAAGAAGAAGACGGGTCAGACCGTAATAAATGATAACAGTTATCACTGCAGAGTCTGCACGTACGACTTTACCGTATTTGTATTATTTGATAATATTGCTGTGACGCGCAAAACGTAATTTCCATCGAATTCCGTTGTATCTATCGTAATCATATCTACTACTATATTATGATATTAGTACATTATTGATATATTTCGCATACTTGTACGGCGATGACGGCAAAATAGAAAATAATAATAATAATAAATTGATTTGTATCAATGTACACCATCAATTAAACAAAAATGCGCGTTCTCTGTAATATTATTATTATTATTACTACGAGTATTTGCCGTTCGTACGAATGAACCGTTTAATATTATAATCAGTGACGTACATTTTGTCCGTAAACAAATTATTATACTGTTTTAAACGTTCAATCTATAATTATTATACTATGTATTAATTGCACTGTTATTATTATTATTTTTATATTAAATCGCCTTGTACATTTATTTCGCTAATTTATCACTCGTACGATAAAAAACGTTACGTATCGATACAGGTAGAAAGCTATTGAACTGTGTGCGATGAGTACCTACTGGTCGTATAATAGTTCAATACAGACAACATGCAGAGAACATCGTAGAGAAAAAAAAAACTATTTGAAACGGGTTAAGTAAACGTAATAAAATAGTAATCGTACGTGTTCGTATTATTAATAATCATTTTTGTTTGTTACCCATTTCGATCGTTGTCCATAACAATCCGCGGCAACGCTATTATTTCCAGCAAAGTAATTTTTTTTTTTTTTTATACATGTGTATATATATCGTATCATTGATGTTGAGAGTACTGCATGATGTGTATTATTATTATTGCACGTTAATGGTTTGCTCAGTGTAATTCCGAGTTTTACATTTTTAAAATTAAGATTCGGTAAGTATACCGCTCTACTTTGTGTTTTATATTTCCGGCAAACGTATTTTTCATTTGTATCCGCATAATAAAATATAAGTGGGCCCGTGCGAATACTTGGCGTTTTAAAAACATATTATAAAAACTAACGGAGTAACGTATCATTATTTCGCTGGCAGCGGATTTTCGTCGCATTCTTGCCGTCTTGACGCAAAAACAGCGTCCAATTGTGAGTATTAACGGTTCGTTAGAAGTGAGGTATTCAATATTTAAACGGATGCCTATCTCGCTTACTGGCTTCCGTTAAACGTGAAGGAGGGAAAAACAGTTTTTTCATGTCGTTTGTTAGTGACTGTCCACTGCGTGTTAACTCCCCTACCCTCTAGAAAAAAATCTCCAGGGGCAAAACCTTTTCTTGAACTTTTAATTTACTCTCCTCAGTTATCTACCCCCCCCCTCACCAGTAATAGTATTCCCTACGTTAAATACAAAAATTTGTTACAAAATCTACTAATTTAATGCGAAAATTCCCCTTAAAATATACCCTGGGTTTTAACAAAAAAAAAAAAATAATTAAAAACCACTTATTATATAAATTAATGTATATCGTTCAGTAATATTATGTCGATGAATAGTGTAGTATGAATATGATAAATCTTATGATATATTTAATAATATGTCTGTCTTGAAGTGTTTAGACTACAATGATAATCGTAAGCCAACTCATAATCCAATCTAGCTCCTCGTCTGATTATAGCCGGTTACTGATAAGAAAAAAAAAATTGAATTGTTATATTTGAAGATCGTTGACTCGGCGATAATAATATAATACTTACGACGTACGTACACTAATTACATAACAATCAAACAGATACGCATGTGTATTATTATAATCGGCAAACATTATCATGTTATACAGAATCTACGGAATAAAAAAATCATTGTGTTTAGTTTATACACATATGCAGCTCTAGGTACAAGAGGCTACACTTTTTTATTTGGCTTTGCTCTACAATGGACGTTTCTCAACTGGGAGTTCGCGGAAATAGTGAAAATTGTTGTATTTGATATTTTTGCTATTGCGGTTGTAAATCGGTTCTTCATTATACGTAGGTACAATATGAAATATATCATCTAGCGGCGACACGCGTACACTGGATTTCATCTAAATTTTTATGTGTCTGTTACAAATATTTCAAATATTACAACGTTTCCAAATTGTTCGTTTTACTTGTTTCGTAAATTCTTACCCATCTCGTGTGAAAATATATGACGAACCGACATTTGCAAAGCAATACTGTAAAGCAGTAATGAGAGAGGTCAATAAAAAAAAGGGTCGAGAAACGCTGCTCTACAACATTATTCTGATGGCGATACTATAGAGTCGTATAATTAACAAATCGGTAATCAGCAAAAATTAATTGATTTTAATACTATCGATTATACATTTTAAAACAAATGCTACTTCACCGAGTGAGTCAATAATAATTTTAAGTCTTACAGGCCTACTAGGATAATATAATTATTATTGCAGTGCTACGTGCCTATTATTAATTTATTTGAAACACAAGTACCTTTAGGTATACGTATAAAAATTATATTTTTATAATCTTTCCGCTGATTATGTTGAATAAATTACGTTAGTGTCGTTGGTAAAGTACCAACATAAGTAGGCAGCAGATTTATTAAATATATAGTAACATGATATAACATAGAGTAGCGTTAAATTAAATAGCTCTTTTTGAAAACCAGGAAATAAAACGGAATTCAAACGAATCCTTCGTAGTAATTGTCAAGCAGGTATATATATACGACTAAAAGTATAAAAAATAACAAAAATAAATACATTTTAACGTAATGTCTATGTACTCAATCCGTTCAATAAGGTTACAACATCGGTACGAAATGAATTTATTCCGTGTTATCGTTTTATACCTGTATAATGTATATTCAATACAAAAATAATATGAAGAAATCTCCTGGTACACCTGGTTAAACACCAATATCATTCCGACGACGTATTACGTTGTGCTTTGTCGGTATTTTTGTATTTAAAAATATATTGTATAATAATTCTGTTATATTAATTTTAGTCACCATTTTAAATAAATTCGTTTTTATCGGATTTAAATGTAGCCCGGTTTTTTTTTATATATATATATTCTCCGTTCGCCGATATCTGCATGAAAAATTGTCGGTTTTTCGCGGTGTTAAATAATTATAATAAGTATGGATATGGACGATAACACTCGGGGTTGCCTACTCAATAAGAATAGTTGATCAGACACAAGTTAAATTAAAAACCCAATATTATCATTCGTTCACGATGCGGTAGTCTTTTTTTTTTTTTTTCTCTCTCTACATATGTAATTACTATATTTCATTGATTTACTAAACGTTTCTGTAATATAACAAATTCACACGGAATTGGTATTAGGTATGCTACGAATATTGTTGTAACATTTTAAAGCTTTCTATGGGCAACGACTAGGAAGTGAAAGGTAGTATTAGTTAAGATTAAGTGATTCACAACTTTGTGGGCATATATTATAATACAACACTCCACGCGTCAGTGGTCGACTCAATACCAAGGTTAATATTATTTTACTATAGGTACCTATACCTGTAACACAATCCGTCGGATCACGTGGTTATTATAATATTATACTTGTGTAGGGCTATATCCTATGTTCGGTACGCGTTTTTAAAATAATATAAATTAATCGATTATGTCCCTTAAAAATGTGGAATGTAAACGTCCGGAAAGTAAATTTCTTTTGATTTCAATTTAAATAGTACCGTATAGTTACCGACAGTTTTAAGCAATAAATTGATAACTATTAACTATGTAATTCATTCGTGTACTTTCCAGTTCAGATTTCGATATCCGTAGAACCGTGGATTCCAAATGTGCACATTCCGGGTTTTTATAAGTGCCCCGCCTCATAATATGTATATTTCTTAATTTTACATTTGATACATCAAACTTAACTTTCATTTAGGTTTATTTATTTTCCTTTTAAAATGTTTTTGAATAAAGATAAGATAAGGAATAAGGATTGTATATAAAAATTTGATTTTTTTATCAGTATATTAATAATAGGTATTACGGTAGAAAATTATTGTTATAACGAGCAGATTGTGATAATAAGAAGACAAGCAATCTAATATAAAAATAATTGAATAATTTAAACCTAACCGCACACAAACTCGATACTATTATATTTTTGTTTGTTGCTCGCTCGATATTAATTACCTAATTATATTACATAAATAACTTTTATTTCGAATAATATTATGCGTATCTGACCTTTACAACATAAATTAACATATTTTATAAAATAATTTCAGTTATATAAAATTGAGTTTTGTAAGATATTTACAAATTACAATTTTATTACTGTATATTATATTGTGCATAGTATTTAATTTAATACTGTAAAATAAACCCATAATATTTTATTTAATCGATTAAAAATATTCCCGTCTAAATAATAAAATAATGGCGGACAGTGGCGAAACCGTTGCGTGTTAGGAGTTGAAACCCCGGTTGCATCCGAATTGTTTATAAACTATAAAAACAATTTTCATTCTCATTTTTACAGTCATAAGACTACCAGCGATTTGTAGTTTAAAACAAAACACGGGTATGATTAAAAAAAAAATTTGTTTTGTCAGATGAATTAATATTTTGGAACATTCAGAAGGTGGCCTCCAGTCGTTCAATGAATACTAATTTAATTTAATATAATATAAAACAAAATTTTAATGTGTTATTTAATTTAATTTAATACTAATGTACTAAATGTACTTGAGTAAAAATGTATAAGAGAGCGTTTTGACAGAATCAAAACAATTTATGTAGCCAGTTTTTTTTTTTTTTTTTTTGGTCAGTCATTTACTCCCTTATAAATTGTTCTTTTTGTAAAACACATTCCCGTCGTTTTTTTCCCCGTACTTCTCATCTACTTGGGTACTTTTGAGAACTTATATTCTATTCGCTATTAACTCGTGACCCAACTTATGGAAACCCGGGACCCAATTAGTATAGTATCCGCATTAACCCGAGACCCAACTAGAGTAGATTTTTGAACGCTGGACCCAACTCGGATGCGCCGTAAACCCCATATAACCCTAGTGGGGTATGTATTGCGTATTATAAAATATGACTACGTACTTAAAATTAATCCAATAATGAATTACTTACGTAATCATTACAAAAACCATGGTTAAATACTCATAATTATTAAAATAAATCAAATCTTTACGCAAATATAATATTAAAACTAGGAACTGTATAATATAATACAAATATTGCAGAAGGAGATAACCGTGTTTATAGTACCTATAGGCAATACTCAATACAGCAATAGCATTATTATCTATTTTTTACAACTTTATGAGAAAATAAGTATACTTCTTTGTCTTGTCAGAATCATCAAACATGTTCAATTATCAACGTAAACTTGTTTTTTTTTTTTTTTTTCAAATAAATAAGATATTTTTTCATCAAATTCATCAAAGTAATTTATTTGGATCAACCTTGAACTGTATAATATGACTACAATGTACCATGTATGGTAGTATTTATTTATTGACGGTGTCTAGTTGCAGGTAGCCTGTTCCCTTGACCCTTCCTTATATAGCAGAGTACATTTATGGAACCTAAAATCGTGACTGAGCTCAGCTTCCTGGTGGTAGCGAGTGTTTGATAATTTTAGGGTTCAAAAAAAAAAAAGGTCCAACTTGTCTAATGTCGCTATTAATTAATTAATTGCCTAAGAAAATTAAATTGTACCTTAATAATATTATGATGTTTATTTGCAGTTGCTGTTGGAAGGCAAATCTGCAATGGAAAATGCCAAGTTATTGAGGACCACAACAAATGGCGCTACACCATTGCTGGTAGCCTGCAGACATGGCCACTATGACATAGCCTTGTACTTGATCAATAGACACAAAGTTAATATCGAACAAACAGGCTCAGGTATAATCAACCGTTTAGCATTGAATATAATATTATATAGCACCTACTATATAATATTTTATATTTTGTTTAATTACATATAAATTCCTTATATTTTGTCTTGCTTAAACTTATGCTTATAAACACATAAATCTAATTTACTCTAATTTACTTTACTACATTTACAAAATGTCCAACTTATTTCATTACCCGTGTAGAATTTAGAAACAGTTATATTTAATGGGTGTAAACATTGATTTGATTACTTTATAGGCACCATAATACTTTCTAGTTTGCATAGTAAACAATATAAATTATTTGTAATAATATGCCTAATATTTACCATAAAATAATGTATAATAAATAGCATTTTACCTCTATCTCTACTTTTAAAAAGGAAAACAAACATTAATACATTTAGTCTCCTTAAACAGTAGTGTGTAACTTGTTTGTATACAAATATTGAAAACATATTTAACATAGTATAACATTGGTGTTTAGAGTGATTTATCATAATATAAGTACTAAGAAGTTGATTTTTGATGATCAATTATCTAATAAATTATTATTTTATTATTAAATGTCAGTTTTCTGGTTTTTCTAACTGTTAACCAATAATAATTAAAATTAATCAGTTTATATATATTTGCTAAGTTTATTGCAGCATTATTGGCAATAGCAATTAATAAAAAGAAGTTTCAATAAAATATTCTTATTTTATTTTTCTATTGGTAATATTATTAACTAAGTATCAAAAATTAAAATCATAAATTGATTTTATATTTAAATAATAATTGCTTTTATTATAAATGCATGTTATTATTAAAAAAAAAAAAATAGTACAATATATTGAGTTCAAATTTTAGTACTTCATCTGGTTTAATAGTGTATACGCTCACAATAAATATAAAATTATTGTTTTGTTTTCATAAAATAACTGATAACTCTTGTATCTAATTTTAGGAGAATAATAATATATATACACTCATTGTATAAGCCTTACAAATTTCAATCTGAAATCAATAAATATAATTCAAACAATATAAAATACATAGTTGGGCAATTAATATAATAGGTATTGCTGAGTATGTGTGTCATTTGCAATGACTTGAGAATTTTATTGATTAAAAAAACCAAATACATTTCCCTAATACTGACAACCAGGAATTACAAGTTTCAACTTCAGTTTATGAAATAAATCTATTTTTCTTTTCTTTTTTTCAGTTATTTTTGACGGTGAAACAATAGAAGGAGCCCCACCATTATGGTGTGCGGCTGCTGCTGGACACCTTAATATAGTTAAACTTTTAGTTAAAGAACGGGCCGTCGTGAACTCTACAACCAAAACTAATTCAACACCGTTGCGTGCAGCGTGCTTCGATGGACACTATGAAATTGTCAAATATCTAGTCGAGCACGGAGCAGGTGTGTTATTTTTTGTCAAATTTATTGTTCGTAATTGTTGTGTGATGAACTGAAGTGAAAAATACTATAAACAGAAATATGTGAGCATCCACCCATTAAATTGCGCCCTCAACATTAAATATCATGTATCACGAAACTATGAGAATCTCAGACCAAACTTCATTTGTAATGAAATCTAATAAAAAAAACATGTATTAAACATTATTGAATTTTTCACGTATGTGAAACGTACGCTTATTGTACCTATCTCCCATTATTATATTAATTCTATTGTTGCCATGATTATATAAATATGTTGTATAGTTCAAAAATAATAATGTACACCGTAATTTTTCTTCATCTAATTTCATATTATCATAATTGAAGTCAGTCAAAAGTAAATAATATTATCACTTTGTTGTGGGTGAAGTGTTTTCTTAACTGTTACACAGACAAAAATTTAAATTATTTTATTTTATTTTTCCTAGACATTGAAGTTTCAAACCGCCACGGTCATACATGCTTAATGATCGCTTGCTATAAGGGCCACTTTAAAATCGCCAACTATCTGTTGTTGCTGAAAGCAGATATTAACAAAAAAAGTGTCAAAGGAAACACAGCGCTACATGATTGCGCTGAATCAGGCAGCCTGGACATATTCAAAATGCTCATACAAAATGGAGCCAAAATGGAAGTCGACTCTTACGGTCAGTGCCCATACTTTTTTTTTTTTTTTTTTAAAAAAAACCACTCATTTGCTAATTTACTATAAAAACATTGTTTTCATTGTCGTATATAATTTAGGCATGACACCTCTTTTGGCCGCTTGTGTGACAGGCCATGCGGATATAGTCGACTACCTGGTGAAAAGTAATAATCTGGTTTCACGCACTGAGAAAATTGAAGCTCTAGAATTGCTGGGCGCCACGTATATCGACAAAAAAAGAGACTTGATTGGCGGTTTTGACCTTTGGAAACAGGCTATGGACCTCAGGTTTAACATAGACGATGAACAAGATATTCCAAAACCAGACAATGCCTTACCGATTGAAGCATATGAATGGGCACAAGAAGTCAAAAACCATGAAGAACTTAATGAGCTATTATCAGAACCTGATGAAATGAGGATGCAGGTGTGTTTAATGTTTCACCACCATATATTACCAATAAAAGTGACTAGATAACAGTTTTAAAACATACTTATAACACACTGACATGAAGCTGCTTTTTTTTATATATAAATATATTTCTTAAAATAAACAATTATAAGAAATAGGCACTTAAGCAGATAAAGCCATTGTCATTTAAGGAATCTACCGTGTATTTTATGATTTATAGATTCAGAAAAGATATTACAAAATCGAAGAAGATTTCTGGAAGAAAAGATATTCCCAAATAAAAATGAAAAATAAAAAAAAAACATTAAACCAATTAATACATTCCTTGCTATACTCCAAATCTAAAATATTGCTATTTTACTGTAAACTATAATATTTATCAACAAAACTAAATCTATTATCATAATTGCTCTAATAATTTTATAAATATATATTTATTTATCTAATACTGTGTATTTAGGTCACTAGGTACCGAGTAACAGGTTTTTTTTTTTTCTAGGCTCTACTGGTTAGGGAAAGAATTCTGGGTCCTACACATCCAGACACTAGTTATTATGTACGTTACCGAGGTGCTGTGTATGCTGATGCCGGAAAATTTACCAGATGCATATCTTTGTGGAACCACGCTTTGGACATTCAAAGAGGTTCTCTTGAGTCTTGTCACCAAATGACTGTCTCTTCATTTTTCTCCTTTGCCGAACTCTTTTCTTTTATGTCAGACGCATGTGCTACCAATGACGATAATGGGTATAGACAAGTTCCAGCATTGTTGACGTTTGAAGATGTCATACAGGTTCTGGTCAAGGCTATTAACGAATTATGTGAACCTAAAGAATTACCATATGCGATCGACTTATCTCCTAGATTATTGCTCATTTCCTTGGATCTCTTCAATATGGCTCTTAAGTATGTTTATTTTTTAATTTGATAAATATCTTAAATATTAATTTGCATATATGTTTGATAATTTAGATTGATCAGAAACGATGAACACTCTCACCTGACTCACCGTCTACTGTACCGTTTAAATAAATGTAATATTTTAGGACATCTTGGTCAGACTGCTCTTCATTTAGCAAGCGCCCGCAAAACTGCTTTAGCTGTTTCCCGGCATCCACAAACCGGAAGTTCTGATGACTCGACTTTGTTGCTGCGAGCGTTGCTCAAAATAGGTGCCAACCCTAATGCTCGTGATGATGAGGGTAACACACCTCTACACCTTGTGGCCGCCAAAGATTCGTTAATCATTCAATTATTGTTGGGCAGTGGCGCACATTACGACGCTGTCAATGCAGCCGGTCGCACATTTTGTGACATGCGCAAAGCTACCCCTCACAATCCGTTATATCACACATCCTTGGCATGTCACGCAGCTCGCGTCATTCGCAAAAACCGTATACCGTTTGTTGGACACATACCTGTTACGTTATACGAGTTTGTGGAGAAACACTAGTGTAAAATAAGCATATTAGAAAACGTAAATAATATATTTGTATCGATGGTTTGATGTTTCTGTAATTTATTATCTACACGAAAAATAAATAATAACAATAAGTAATTATTTTATCTAATAAATTGTTTATAAACTTAGTACAGTCTTCTACTATTATAATATGATATTTAACTACCCAAAACGTATCAATTGTCACATTTATATGTGTGCAGTCGTGTGTACAACTTTTAATATTATTATATTATAATTCTCTGTGTAATATTGCTTTCCTTATGATATATTCTATAGTATAATGATAAATAAAATAAATGAGCATTTATCTGCATCAAATACTATTAAAAAAAAATTGTAATATTTTTCAGTTAAAAATGTTTATTATTTTAATAAATTATGTATACATATATATATATAGTGAGAGTAGACGTTTTAATGCTACTTTTATTTTAATATACATTATTCTAGTAACTTAAATATTTGTTTGAATAGATGAATTAAAGTAATTCTATTTTATAATAAATAATTTAAAAATATAATCTATGCGTTTTGTTGAATAAAATTCCCAAATATTAAAAATATAATGTATATCAAAAACTGTTTATAATAAAGATTGGAAAAAAAAATTGAAACTACAAATCAGAAGGACAAGGTTTTCCATCTCAATTTGTTTGTAAAACAATAGTTTTGTAAATTGTGAAATTACTAAACCGAAAATTAAAATTATCATTTGGGAAAAATTGTAAACTAAACCCTGATAGTATGAAAAATGTGGAAAAAATAGGATTATTATATACTTAGATTCAGTACAGAAACTATTTTTCATTTAGGGAGAGGGAGAGCCAAAAATATAGAGTGTAACCAAGCATAAATATGATTTTTTAAGTATACTGTATATAAATCTGAGCCCTATTGAATTTATAACAATTACAACTTTAATTTTATCAGTTTTATTTATTTACAGTAAAAGCTGATTATTAGGAACACTCATAGACCAATGTGACATATTTTATTATACAATTGATTTTATACATGAGATTGGTTACTATATTTAGTATAAATATTACTGTGCCAAGGCATTTTGTTTCAATAATATGAATATATCTATTATCCATGTTCCTACTGCATTTTTTCAAAATAGTACCATTGATAAAAAATAAATATTATAATAAAATAGTATTAAAAATATAATTTTTGTAGCTTTAGTTAGTATATTCAATGTTACATGGAAACAAAAACCACTGTATAATAAACAGGATATTATATTAAAATAATATGATTTAAAATTTAAATAAACAAACAATCATTCACTTTCAGATGATGATTGATCATGTTTCGTATTAAAACTTCTCTTGTAAACTTCTGACATACGTTTCATTGCGGACAGATTTCTACATTGATCTCCACTTTCTTCATCATTATCGCTACCCAGGGATGTATGCTCCAAATGTTCTTGAGAAAACAAATCTCCATGAATTGCAGAAGAACTTGGTTCATCAGTACAGTTGAATAGTGTTGGTTTTGGTTGCTCAACATGAGTTTCCTTAGGATTTACTTCACTGTCATTACGTTTCCTTATATGTGATTCTTTCTGTAGAATTGAATCAAATTTTTGCTTAATCTTTTTCAAATATTTTATACGGTTTTTGTCACTTTTCATATGTTTAATCACACGCTTCAATTTAGGAATAAGTGTTTTTTTAAGCAGTTCATTTTCACATTCAAAATCTATTTGTAATTTATGCAGTGTATTTACTAATATTGTTGTATATGGCTGGTCTTCATCCAATAAGTAATCCAATATATAACCAGCCAATTCACCATGCGCATTATTAGCCATTTTTTCATCTTTGAATATGATTCCTTGACAGAGGTTTATTAAAGTTGTATTCATCTCGTCTAAATCAATACCTAACTTTTCGATTAATTTATGTTCCTCAATTTGTTTGAATATTGGAACATAGCACTTTGCTATTGTACTACTACTTGAATGAATGTTAAACATATAAGTTGTAAAACATTTCATAAGAATGTGGTAGACATTAAATGTTTCATGTGTTAAACGTTTGAACCATATTATTAAAAACTTTGATATAACATTTATGGACTCGACTTTTTTGAAAACAATCAAGTTGCAAAAACCTTCAACTATTACTGACTTAAAACTACGATCATTAACTTCATAATCAACAGAGTCTGCTAGTAATGGTAAAATATTTTCAACTGTGAAGTCATCGTCGTAATCATGGTCTGCGTCTATATCATCACTAATGTCAAAACTTTTGAGACCATAAGTCAAAAGCAACTCAAACAATATTTGAAGCAACAAATGCTTATTGGTCATAGGTCTTGATATTTCACGAAATAGAGTGAATATGTGAACTTTAGCTGTATCTAAATTATTGACCAAAAGGTATGGAGCAATACAGTGGAGTGCATCCATCCGTATAGTGACTAATGAACACTCTAAATAGTCAATTACAATATTCTGAATAATATCTGTTACTAGAGACCGTTCATTAGAAACTTTAATTAATTGTTGTACTTGAAAGACTAGTTCAAAGCCTTTAAGTAAAATGTTGACAGCCTCTTCTACTAGTATTTTGTCATCATCTGTCAACATATTATTTATAATGTCAAGTTCTTTTTTCATTTTATTCAGTTCTATAATTAACATCCTTAATTCCTCTGAATCAGATTCAGTTTCTAAAATATCCTTAATCTGCATGGTTTTTACTTTTATTTGATTTTCCAAGAACATTTTTGTACCCACTTTATCAATTAAAGGTAGTACATTAACTGTCTGTGTTTGAATTTCATTTAGGATGTTTTTACTGTAATTCAAAATATCTGGTCCACTTTTAATAGTTAAATTTAGTAACATAGTTATAGGTTGTATTATTTTCATTGATGTCTCGCTGTATAATATTAAATTGTAACACAGTTTATTTAAACTAGCTGCACCAACATCATCCATAACAAATATACTAACAAAGTCCAACAATTGTAACAATATAAATTCTTTATCCTCAATAGCATTGTAATTAAAAAAATATTCGCGTATATAATCAGAAAACTTAACTAAATCAGGTAATAAAACTTCAATATAGTCGTCACTAGCTTGTCCTTCAGTGTTGGCTAATTGAATTTTTTTTTCAAAAGTTAGATATTTACCTATACATTTCCATAGGAAAATTTTTTCCACAGTTAACTGATTGAAATCAATAAGCCGAGATTCAGAATTCAAAAACTTATTAGTCAATTCCAATACTTGACTATCATAAATGGACTCAAATAGTATATTTACAATTTGTTCACACACAGATACATTTTCTAAATCCATGTGCTTTAAAAGTGTTTCAAAATCATTATTACAGTTCTCCAACCATTTTACCAATAACTGTTTTTTTATAAATGAATTAATATTTGTACTAGGGTCTTTCAATCCATATACTACTATCTCTTGTCTTTGCTTGGGAGATAGTTGATCAAATGGATAGTCTAAGAAACGATTGTGAGCTTCTTTCCGGACACTTTCATTAACATCATTCAAAGTATATTTTAAAATTTCTTCAACAACAATTTTGAACATAGCAATTTCTTTGACAATAGATGCTCGGACTTCAACACATGGATCAGAAGTCATATGAAACATAAATTTTTTAACTATTTTACACTTGGGATTGTCGGGTAATTGCAACCGATGTAAAGCATGTACAGCTTGTACTCGAACTTCTGCATTTATATCTTTTAATCGACCCAATAAAATTGTTATTGCGACATCACATAATTCGACAGACAATACTGTTTCACTGGACATGGAATTCAACAAATGATTTAGAAACAGACAAAAACGCCATCTAATTATTTTACTTTTTGATTGTATTCGTTGTAAGCATTTTCGAAAAAAATCTGTTAACAAATACATACCACTACAGCCGTCCTTGGAGTTGAATTGGGTTAGTACGGATAAACTATGAGCGGCAAACTTGATCATGTTGTTGACGACAGAACAATGCATAGGTGTAACAGAAACAAACACTGAGAACATTGCTTCCATAAACAAAGTTTTAAATTCGTTAAAATCCATTGCATTAAATTTGGTTTTAATAATTTTGATTAGGTTTGGTTGTGGACCAATATCGCCCGCTTTTTCAAACAATCTGATAATCACTTTGTTTTTGATCATATTTGATTTACCTTGAGAGATTTCTTGTGCCAATATTATTATTCTTTTATTGAATAATGCTGCGTAATCACCTACATTAAACAGTAAAACAATAATAACATTCAACTAGCCAAAATTAATATTATTTGGTTATTTCTAGGGAAAGTGACTTCTAGCTTATGCTTATTCGTTAGAAAGATTAAACATATAGCAGAATCAAATATTAATACTGTCCATGATGTAAATAAATCTTAAATTTGATTTTATATACTTAACATTATTATCTTATTAGAGCATATTGTAGAATTATTTTGATTTTAACAGGATATTTTAGTAGTATGTAGCTTTTAAATGCTATTATTCTATTAAAGGTCATAAGTGTTATATTTCTTAATACATGTGTATTAATTATGTAAAGCTTGTTTTGTATTTAAGGTCCACAAGCAATAAATTTAATCAATCGGAACTTAAGAACATCTCAAAAAAATAGCTATACTTATATATAAATAATTAATTTAAATATGTAGAAACAAAACAATTTCAATAAAATAAATAAATTTTAAAGCATATTTTAGCCATTTTCAATTATTTTTAAAACATATTTGCATGTACTTTAAAGCTAGATATCATTAAGCTTAATTATAACTTACCAACTGAATTCTTAAAACGTAAAGTACCTATAAACAAACACAGTATGAACTAAATCACAGAAAAGGTTAAATTTATCGTAAAAGTTCCCACATTTATATAGGTAAATGACATATTTTGTTTAGTTTTTTTTTAAAATATTAATACAATAAATGATACTTATTAACGCATAATTTATATGCATAGGTTCAATATAACGACCGTCTCTTATCAGCACATGCCACTTATCAATATCGAAATATTACGGTAGTTGTCTTATTATAGAACAAGATTGGGTCCGACCCAATACACCTATAAAGATATGGACTGCGCGTAATAAGAGAAGTCCGATGGCTGTAGTCATTAGAAGACAGTAAATAGTTTACGATATCCATAGAAGAAACAAATTTATTATCATGGAACATAAATCTATCTGTCTAAAGATTTTTATATAGTCCATTCCACGAGAGGTCGGGCCGCTTCAGTCTGCTCTGATCGACTATCGCTCGGTTATGGCGTGGGGAGCGCTGCAGCGACCGGTTTTGGTCGTTCTCTTGTGTAACAGACTGTGGGTCTATGCCATAGATGCATAAAAATACCAAACAGTAAAAATAAGAACGGTTTATATCGCCAATAAAATGAACGGTTCTTATCAGTATCCGCCCACTCAGAATAAACAACATAGTTTATTAAAAATAATATTTACCTTATAATTATTGTAGTTGTTTGCTATAAATTATTATAAATGAAGAGTTGGTAAATAGTTTATTAATTTCTACAGGATGTATTTAGTATTTTATCTGGTCATATAATAAGTATAAAAATTAGTGAGAACAATACAAATTATGTACCTATAAGGTTTTTTTTTATTGCCCCTCCCCATTGAGAAATCCTGGCTACGCTATTGTGTATATCTGTGTGCACAATGATTAACCATTGTTAACGAAAAACGATTGTGAGCGGAATTCGATTAATAGTGTTGCTTTGTCCACAATATAAAATATATGTCGTATTATGGTAAATTAATTAAACATTATGTATTTGTCTTTTTTAAAATATTTGTTTAATATTGTACCGATGTTTTTTCGTTATGTTTCTCCAACCGTATTGTCTACGTTTTCCTCGGTATTTCCATGTTTTTCACATTTGCTGGGAAAACTTTTGGGAAAATCGAAAAATTACCTCAAAACAAATTTTGTCATTGCATGGTAAATCGGAGACAAATTTCTGATAGAAAAATTCACAGGAAAAAAAAAAAGACCCAAATATTTTTCAACTAAAATCTATATTTCGTACATTTTCCAGTTTTTTTTTCAACAAATGTGAAAAATCGAAAAAAAAACTAGGAAAAACGAAAAATGACCTCCTCAATGTACCACCTTAAGGTTTGGTTTCCTGTTGGCTTTTTAATTATTTGCTCCGAGCAAACGAAAAACGATACCTCGAAACTCGAACGTTAGGTATTAGTGTATACGATTGCAAGATTGTGAATATAACTGATATATCTGTTATATCAGACGGGCACATATATATGGGAGGGGTTGAAGTTCAACGTTCCCCCCGAAAATTAATAGTTTTGTAATTTATTTATATACATTTAATATAGGTTTGTAAATATTGATAATATTTGTGGTAGTATTGATTAATTGTAAATTTTTTATGCATTATGCATGGACATGGTAGTCTACGCAGCTATTATATCATACCACGTTATATAAAAATAGAAAAAAAACTGTACCTAAAATAATTTTTTATTTGATTTTCCATCAATAAATTAAATTTGTTATAACAATAGTAAAACTTTCTAGCTTTTTCTATCTTTTTTGGAAGGTTTTTTTGGTCTAGCAATATTCTGTTTCTAGGGAATGAATTAGTTAATTAAATGAATTTATCAAAATACACTTGTTTTATAGACCTGATTTTATAATGCATGAATCATGATGTACATTTGATTAATATTTTCAAACTTTCATACATTTTTATGTAATTTAATTTTCTCATTAAAACGATTATTAATGAACTTATTTTTACATTTATTATATTTGTTTTTAGGCCAGCTAAAATTGTTTTGTATATCAATGCGTGTGACGTCAAGACTCGACTTGTACGTAGGTACTATCGAAAGAATAATCGATTTGAATTTTGGTGCAAATTACAATTTATATTTCTTCCTACCCGAAATGGTACAAATTAAAAATCTTTATTTTGGTGCAAATCACTCATGTTATATATATTTAAGATCGCCCCCTCTTCTCGAGGGAAATAGATATAATAGATTTAATTAATTTATAATTTGACAAAATTGTTTAGATTCCGAGTGTTGCAAAGAATGTATTGGTTTTATAAATTATTTTTTTCTTGCACTGCGACAAAAATTTCTACCAGAAATCTTACTCCGATGTGTACCAGGTGATCCATTTAAGTGGGCACACTCATTATATCGTTAAGTACTTCCTTTTTTCGTTATTTGTTTTCTAGAACATTTAATAGTAGTAAAAGTAGCTCTACAATTTTTTAATTATGCTATTTTCTATCACCCTTATTTTTGGAGATAAAACCACTATCTACTTTTGATTTTCATATGGCAACCTGTATTAAAAAATCTATAAATAGATAGAGTATTAGTTAAAATAAATTTTAGTGTTGAATTTTTTATTTCCGTTGATCCGTTAACGAGATATTTCGTTTTAACTATTAAGTTTTAATATGAGGAGAAAAGTAGAGTATCATCTGTATGGCGGTTCGGCTCGCGGTGTATTTATAATGCACCACTATTCTCCTCTAGGTTAGGTTTCCATTTGAAAATCAAAAGTAGGTACCTAGGAAATTCACCCCCAAAAATATGAGTGACAAAAAAATAACATAAATATAAAATTATAGTGCAGCTTGTTTTTTAAATGTTCTTGAAAACAAATTCCGGAAAAAGTTAATACTTTCAGAGACAATGAGTATACCCACTTAAATAGATAACTTGGTAAGTGTGGCACCATTTGTGAAAGGAAATATTAGAGATAGTACTTTAGTAAATCATTTTTTGATTTTTTCCAAATGGTTTTCATAATGTATAACTGGGAAAACTCTAAAGAAAACGTAAGAAAATCGGGAAATTTACGAAAATAATGATTTTTATTATTTTCAATTTTATTTGTTGTAATTCGATTAAAAATATTCGTACACTTGAAATTTGGACAGAAAACTTATAGTTGCTTTTAATAGACGTGCATGTAGTAAAATTGTAAAAAAACATTTGAGAAAAAAAATTACTATTATTATTATAATTAATTATGGAGTACAATTTAGGCAATTTCTATTCACGTCTACGACGTCCGGGATCGATTAGGGTTTCCGATCGTTAGAGTTTGTAAATTTCTATACGTGCACCGTCACACCGACTCCACCACCGTTCCCGTCGATGTAAAACAGGTTTACCGTTTAGTTTTGCTCGAAATAGACTAAAATTCACTGCGGCCTTTCACGCCGTAGATCCATCGCCGCGTGCCTCATTAGTATATCGCAAATTTATTTATAGCCAAAATATAATATAATATTATTGATTATTAATAGCTGACCGTTCAACCATCGAACGGAATGACGACATTCGGATCGCTAATATAGAAAATCAGTCATACACGTTCACAAAAATTATTTTTTACCAACTGAAATAGTGCAATCCAAGACAAGAACATAAAATGTACCAATTAATTTTAACATAAATTATTATACCTGTTTTCACTCATTATTTATTTATATTTTCAGCGGGTGTGATTATTTTATTTTTCCAGATTCGGAACGTAGCAAGGAATCTATTGGTTTTACTATGATGTGTGTTGGTATATACATTTTTTTTTTCTCTGTTAAAAACTTGCTCCGAAGTATAAACTATAGCACCTTCTCTGAGAGGTAATTTTCCTTCGTTGGTGCATTAGGGCGGTCATTTTTTGATTTTCCAACAATAAGTAAAACGGCAAATATTTACGACGCGCCGTTTTCACTGTTTTTATTATGTTAACACGGTGTTTTACACCAGAAAAATTGCTCTAATCCAAAAATAACCAGCAGTCGATTTTTTTTCTTATAATATTTCGCCATTAACAGAAAAAGTCATTTCTAGATATCTGAAGTATTATTCATGATTGGGAAAAACCAAAAAAGATGAAATATATGATTTTTTTTCAAAATACGGTACAACGATTTTATTATTTAAAATGTGTACGGGCTTATGTTTTCTACCATAAATATTGCTCCAATGATATACGACAAAAGACCTTCATTTTAGATTCTAAGTGGAGCGAAGAAGCTTATGGTTTCACAAAGATGTTTATTTTTTTTTCATCTGTGATCAACTTTTCTACCAGAAGACTTACTCTGAATTTTAAGTGTAGGATATTTTTATTTATAAGAATTTGAATAGAAAATTTTGACGAATATTGTTTTAGTAAAATGTTTATTTCTCTGTAATAATACATATATATATATTGTTGAAAAAGTAACACTATAAACTTAGCTCCGCTCTAAATCGTTTTTTATTACGGTAATTTAGTTATTGATTTAAAAAATTAAGGAATTTAATTAAAATATAATATATACTCCACGCCACGAGAAGTAAACCTTGTCTCGACCGAAACGCGTTCAATTCTGCGCATCCCCATGCACTTGCTGGCACAAAGTGGAGGGAAACGGGGCCTCGTGCCGTTGGTTGGCATGCGCGAAACGGGGTTTACTTCTCTCGTAGCGCGGAGTATAGTAGATATATTATAAAAACAATGGTTATAGTAGGTATTTTTAGAACAATGTAGTCGATTTTATTTTAAATAATAAAATATTACATTCACTCGAGAAAGACATTTTTCTTTTTTCCCAAGCTTTCCCTTGGAAAATTATTTATTTAAAGATATAGAACAAGAACTTCTTTAATTAGAATTTTGTTATTTTCAGATGAAAATATAGACAATATGGTACCTTAGTCATTTTGCATAAAGAAAAACATCCATATGGATAGTGATGTACTCATGTGAATCTGATCAGTTATAACAGTTATGAGCAAATATATTTAAAATAAAATTATTATGAGTAATTAAATGATAACTTGTAATAAAAATAGTTTTTTTTGCATAGACCTTATACTACATTATACGTGGCAATGAGGTATAGACGAAAATATTAAAAAGCAATATATTAACAATGAAACTTATAAACACGGGAAATATTATAATAATTAAATATTATTATTATAATTCTTGGTTACTGGTTATATTTGTCAGAAAAATACAAGAATACAATAATATCCTAATTTTAAATTCCATTAGAATATTTTCCAAGCATATGACTAAATATTTTTATTTTCTCGTAAACTATTGTTCCTATTATAATTTGCCTGTATTCTACTTTACAGTAATTCATCATTCCTTTAAATAATTGTCTTAATTTATATAACCCCACCCCTCATATACAATGATGGACACGATGACTACAATATGTCTTGCTAACACCATAATATGTAAACTCACATTTTTAACTTTTGAAATTAATTATTTTATTAACTTTACTTGAGAAATTGATAAAACAAATCTTTTGAATTATCAGTAGTTAAATGTAAAAAAAAATATAATAAAGAGTAATAATTACCTAAATTTTTAAAATTATTTTTCTAAGACTAATCAATACTAAAAATATTGTTTCTTCAATATGTAGAAGTTTCTTAAAATTATTAGTAAGAATAAAAAAAAATGAGAAAACATTCATAAATTCTAAATATAAGTATTACAAAAAGAATGACTATTTTTTAAATTACTATCAATGAATCAATTGGTGGCATTCACTATTATATAGTTCCTTATATATTAAGTATTATAACTAGTATCTAGGTAGAAAAGAAATACGTTTGGTAGTTGATAATTTAGTTTTCTATGTTTTCATATGAGGAACTTCTTTCAAATACTTGTAACATTTGTGCCAGTGTGATATTAGACCAATGATCCACCTTATTTCCACTTGAAAAAACATTTGCAATATTTTCTTCAATAGAATCCCGAATTATGAAATGATGTACATAAGTAGTTCTAAAAAAAATAAATACATGTATACATGAAATTTAAACATTTCAAAAGGCATTCAAACATTAAAAAAAATTTATTTTAAGAATTTAATTACCTTGCTTGTCCCATTCTATGAACTCGACCAATAGCTTGAAGTTCATCGTTATTATTGATTAATGGCTCCACAAAAAAAATTCTCGTGGCTTCAGTTAAATTTAATCCTTTTGAACCCACACATAATTTCATTAATAATGCATTGATTTTATCATCCGTCTATAAATACAAAACAAAATCAACCATAACAATATAATACTTTAGTGCAGTTAAAAAAATAAAAAACTAGGCCAGTGAACATTTTCAAATTTCAATACATATACAATTTTATAGCTGCTGAAAGGCTATTTATTTTAGCTAGTGTAAAATGTTGACCAATGTGTACACTAAATTTTAATTTTACAAAATTATAATTAATATCTGTTTAACCTTCGTTATCAAGGTTTTAACATTAATATTGTCAGCTAATATATATTCAAATCATTTACCCATGTAAAAATCTTAAAATAAAATTTCAAATTCAAATTTCGGATCCAAAAATTACTAAAATACACTATAAAATCCTTAAGTGCTATAAAATTTAATATAATGGCTTAAACAAAAAAATTTTCTCAGGAAAACCAAAATAAACTTTCTTAGTCTAAAGTACACAAAATTAATTTGTGACAATACGAGCATTGCACAACAAGTTTAAAAAAAAGAAAAATGCCAAGTACGTCAAAATGAATGCAGCCTGTTAAAAGTGAAAAGAATTGGTAAATAATAGACTTACAATAAACACTAATATACTATGTGATCCATTTATGTGGGTACACTCATTATCTCAGAAAATATTAACTTTTTCGGAATTTGTTTTCTAGAATGTTTAAGAAACAAACTGTTAAAAATAAAAGAACATAAATATAAAATTGTAGAGGTTTCTTAAACGGTTCTAGAAAACAAATTCCGAAAAAGTTAATACTTTCCAAGATAATGAGTGAACCACTTAAATGGATCACATGGTACTATTATAGATTTTAACTATCAAAATATTTAACTGAATGATTTGAACCTTAAAATCAGTTAATGTTTTGTTGTATTTATTTCCAGGTTTCAATGTTCTGTAATTGACAGAATTGTGTTCTAAAGCTTCTCCAATAAGACTCAATATTTTATCCCACTAAAAAATATATAATTCTCAAATTAAAATATTTTACAAACATTATATTTAAAGATAACAGTAGAAAAAAAACTTACTGTTGAAAATATCAAAACTTTAACTTTTGGATCTTCCTTAATCAATTCCATTAATTTAGAAGTTATATTTTCTACCTTAGTAGAAAATGATCCTTTAATTACTGTGTTTGACGACATTTGATCATCACATCGTGTTCTTACATAGGCTACAGACTCGGTTAGAGAATTACTTCTACACATTGGACATACTATTTCTTTTTTGTCCATATGTTTACACATAGATGCTAAACATTGACTGCATACACTATGACCACATTGTAATACAGCCCACTATTAAACAGAAAAATAAAATGATATAATACTAAACTTGCATAAAATTCTTAATTACATACAACATCATCAATATCAAGTTGACAAATAGGACATGGTTCTGGTTCATTCCCAGTAGAATTTTCTTTTTCTTTTTTTAATTTTTCTAGGTACAGTAAAGTTCCAATTTTTTTTTCTAATATGACTACGGTGTTTGGTATTTCCAGTCCTAACACTGCCATATTATGATCCACCTATAAAAAACAACACCTTGAAATTATTATGTATCAAATATCAATGTTATGAATGACTAACATATTGTTCCATGATCACATCATTTTCATTATCTTTCTTAGTTTTTTTCTTGGGAGGACCATATTCTGTATGCTCATCTTGCCCACTTTCCCCAAGTCTTAATCTTGATTTAGCCATAACAATCTCATCATGAGCAGACAGACTATCACTAAGATGAGTCCACAACAGTCGTAAATATCTGAATTCTTTTCGTACCAATTCCAAAACCTTCATATGTTCAGCTGCATCTTTCAGACAGTTTTTGTTTATAATTTTAGCTTGTCCATATTGAAATAACTCTGCAAATATATTTTATATTAAGATAAATACAAATTTGAATAAGTAACTTGATGATAAACTTACTCATGAGTAACAATTCTTTTTGAGACATTTTCCATAGACCTTTACTAGTACTTTCATATGTGTTTTCTTCATTTTCATCAGTTGTATCAGTTTCTGTAGTTTTTGGTTTATTTGATACACTAAATAATAATGTTTCATATACCTTGAGTTGATTTTCAACTTTGCATAATAAACACCTACACAACACATAAAGTCGTAAATTGAATTATATAAAAATGAATAATAAATTCATTAATCACCTATTATTAGAAAGACCTTTTTTTGATTTAACACGTAAATGACATAATAATGCCTTTTCAACCAAATCATTCATGGATGTTCCTGCTAAAGTGTTTAATGTGGCTAATGTATCAACTCTTGCTGTATTTAAATCTGTAAGCCAAATGCTCAGAACTGTAAAAACATCACTCCTAGTCTTCAACCTAAAAACATAATGTTTTTTTTTTTTTAGTTTACCTAAATACAACTAAATGTTAAATCTAATTTTAAGTGATTATTTTATTTGAATAAAATATTTAAGGTAAGGTTTTATTAAATTAATAATACTGAAACTAATAACATACTTATTTGCAATATTTGGAACACCAGGTACATGATAATTGTCTAAATCAATTTTTACTTTAGACAAAAAGTCACAAGGTGAAAAAATCCAATCCAGCATATCAGACCACCAGTCAGAATAAGCCAAGGTTTTATCCTCAAGGAGTTTGGCTATTTTAACGGAATATAATGTAACTGTTTTCTGTGTTATTTCAATCTATAAAGATAACAAACCATACTTTAAACCAGACAGGCCATTGTTGTAGATGGGAAGTTTAGAAGGTATAAGATAAGGTATAAGAGGGTGATTTAAGTTTAATTACTATACTCCGTTCGTCATAAGACTGCAACTCACTCAGTTAGCTAATCACAAGGCCACCGATATCTGAATGCCATTGTGCGGCCGTATTGACGATGCCGAGTTAATGCTGGAATAGTGATGGGAATGTGCAATAATTAAAGAGTTTTGTCAACAAGAAGCCAGTTGCGTTCTTACGGTGATCGGAGTATAGGAGTAGTAAAAAATTATATCAGTTAAAAAGCAATAATGAGCAGTATTGGATAAAATGATAGGGCTATAATATTAAATCAACATAATCAAATAAAACTGATATACATATAATGTATGATTGTGGCTTTAGAAAAACCAGATTAGATAATCATTTTACAAATAAATAAAGACTCCAAGCCAGAAAATCTTTATCTTTTAGGATATAATATGAACAATTCGGAGCATTAATACTAAACAAAGTGTTTTCAGAAGAAAAATACACTCAGATAGATTCTGAATAGATTTAAAGAGTGAACTGATGTTTTGAACATTTCAAAATAAATAGGTTAATACATATACAAATTCACCGGGTATACTACATTCAATAAATGACAAACGCAAAATACGTTATTCATTGTATACAATTTTAAAGGTTTTTCCAGCTTGGTAAAATAATCATTATTTATTATCGGACAATTTTAGTACAGAATATTTCAATAAAACCTAAATATGCACTAAAGCTTTGTGAACATAAAAATATGATTAAATAGGTAAAAATCTAAAAATATGCAAAATTTAATTGGAAATTTGAATTATTTAAGTAATGAAATACATTATTTATATCTTACTCCGCATTAATTTAAATTGTATAAAATAAATATAATAAAGGCATAAATATCTACTCTCTATTAATAAATAATAATTAATAATAATGAATTTCAATTAAATTAATTGGATTATTAAAAGGCAGACAATATGAAAATAAATTAATAAACAATAAAAAATTAAATTAGTATAAATTAGATAATTTATATTTGTATAGTTTGAAAAGAATTACATTTTTTAATACCTAAATTTACGTGGTATACTTACATTTTGTTTACTAGCACCAAGATATTCATTTTCTAGTTGTTCCATATCCTGTTTCAAGGTCAAGTCATACGAGTCATGTGTTGTAGGGGTATTAGTATTTTTACATTCACTTAGTATTGAATCCAAATTATACATCACATGAATTTTCTATTTAAAAATTTAATTAATTATAATTTTAAATATACAATATAAAATTAAATTTTATTTTAATTGAATACAAAATATGTATGAGTATGTATGAGTATGACACTTGTATTAAATACAAGTGTCAAGAGTATGTAAGAAAAAAACAATTTTAATGTTAGAGTAGGCAGCACCAGATAGCGAATGTATCAACTCACCGAGTGTTAGGATTTTATTAAGATTAGAAATTTATATTAATTTGATCAAAATCAAGAATTATTCGGCGCGATCCACTGAGATTTTCTCGGTAGCTCACTGGTTCATCAATTCGGACCTGAGAGTAGGTATGGACCAGAGAGCTCTGCATTAAGCCTATGAACGTTTCTGTTGGTAATGTATAGTTATAAAAAGGAAACTAGATACAATGGTGCACAATGTATAGGTAATTTGTGTACGCTGGAGTAGAAAGCAGTTTTCATAGAAAAGGAATTAGGGATTACTAAAAAGAAACCTATGTATAAATAAAAATCAATCGCTGTATGTATGAGAGATCATCAATTGAGAACAGCTCAACCAATTTGGCAGATTTTTTTTGTTATGTTCTAAAATATCAGGACAAGATTTGTATGAAAGAAATTTTTTAAAAAATCCACCAGAAGTAAGAAATTAGAATAATATTGTATGAAAATACAATTTCACTTGACTAGATCTACCATCTTACATACACTGTTTGTCCTCAAATCATTATTAATAGCATTCAATCACCCCTGTTTTGGTCTTCCAATCCCCCTTTTCCCTCTTCCCTGTGCTAAACCATCTCAGATTATTTTTTCTCATTTTGTCTACTATAGAAGCAACGCTTTAGCTAACTTTTATGTACTCATCTCTTTTAATAATTTTCAATAACTGAGAACTGAAGTTTTTAAAAATCTAGTTAAACTTTTGTTTATGTAAACTTATCTAAATAAATCTTACTATAATTATTATAGCTTTGTATACTATAAACTGTATTCAATATTAGAAATATTAATAACATATTTTAAGAATCCTGGGGCCGGTCCCAGGATTCAAATTTTCTCCAATTTAGGAAAATTTTAAAATTTTAAAATTTTTAACATTTCAATTACTATGTTAAAGATAATATACTTCATTTGTTGGTCCAATATCCATTTAGGGGGGTAAGGTTTTTACTGATAAAACTGACTTTGCAGGAATATGGAGATAACTCATTGATAACATTATATTTTTCTACCATTTTGTTTTTAATTTATAAACAACATTCAAGGTTGCATTTAACTTCTATTTTTTATTTGGTTTAAAATAATAGTATAGAAAGTTAGTAAAACGAAGTTAAATTGACCCTTTTTAAAGATATATTATAGATTTAATGATAAGAAAATAAAATCTACATTGAAATCAAATCACTTTACAAGGCATGAGAGTTTGATTGGTAAAACATATTTTTGAGCCAAAAAACAGGCTGGCACCATTAAACAAAAGCATTACTTATAACAAATTAATTTAAAAAATAGTGTTGGTACAACAAAAATTTAATTTTAGGAAAGCCTTAATCTCTACTTAAACTATAAAAGATGTAAATAAATATAAATTTATTTAACATTTTACCTGACAACTGTCAATTTTAAGATCTCTCTCTTTATATTTGTCCAACAATGTTAAAACAGTTCTATAATGGGAAATAGCCATAGGAACTTCTCTACGAATAAGATACAATCCCGCAAGTGCATTATGCTGAGATACGAGTGAACGCAATATATCATTACATTCAACACGACATTTTTTTATCATAACATCCATTAATTTCTCCATTGTCATAGTCATTGTTCTTTTTTTTGAAAATAATTGTCCGTTTACAGCCTAGACAAATAAAAATATTGTTTAATAAACATGTCTTCAAACTCAATATAGTTAGATTTAATAAATTAAGTTTATTTATTTACTTGTGGATGCAAACATGCTTGACGAAGTTTAAACAGTGGTGCAATAATTTGGTATACATTTTTTCTATCAACACTCTTTATTGGTATATTTAGATTTGGAAATAGTCTTAAAAAAAAAATAATAATAATAATAAATATTCAACCAAAAGTCAATATAAGGTGAATTACGATATCGCGATATAGTCTAAATTTTAACACAGCAGGTTTTCTATTAATGTCAGGAGACTCAAGGAGTGATTTGTGACCCCCAGAATTCAGGTACTCTACTAAACCCGGTAGCCATGGGTTCTCAAACTAAACCAGTTAAGGTACTATTTCCTTGGTGAGGATAAATGCTAACAGCTAGTCACTGGAAAACATTAGTGCTCCTAGACACGACTGGTCGCTCACATTATTTTATTTACTGATAGCCTTGTTGTTTAAATTGGATGAAATTCAAATACTTTTAAACTGTACAGCAATTTTATTTTCCTTAAATTATAACTGATTTTATTTTGAAAATCAATAATACAATATTATGGTTAGTTGAGCAAAAAAAATTAGAAATATTTTCATTTTTTCAAGCTTCCTCTAGGAAACTATACACAATCTGGGTCAAATGGGCTACAATTTTGTACAAGCTTGTGTTAACAAATACCCTGTTCAATAATCATAAAAGAAGGTATACATGGAAATCTCCTGGAGATATAGCGAGGAATCAAATTGATCACATTATGACAAAGCAAAGATTTAAAAACCAAATTAAGCAATGTAAAGCATATCCTGGAGCAGATTACAGTACAAAAACATTAAAAAGAAAAATAATATTAAGAGATGGAACCTACAGAAATTAAAAAATATGAAACAAAAATGGAATATAACAGGAAATGTAGACACCCTAATGGCAGTAGCACCAGGTAATAACACAGTAGAAGAAAAATGGAATAATATTAAGCAAATATTGAAAAATAAGGCTGAAGAAATCCTAGGAACACTGGAGAAAAAAGCAAGGAAGCCCAGGATTATGAAAGAAATTATAGATCTTATAAATAAAAGAAGAAAATACAAAAATCAAAACAACATAAAAAGTCCACAGAACTATAAACACATAAGAAATGTCATACAAAGAAAAGCAAAGGAAGCCAAAGAAAAATGGTCAAATGACCAATGTACCATAGTGGAAGAGTACTTAAAAAGAGGAAGAAGTGATCTAGCTTTCGAGATTGTGAACACACTTTTCTGCACAAGAAGAATGAATGAAAATGCCCTGAGAAATAAAATGGGTCAGATACTAATAACAGCAGAACAAAAGGTAAACAGATGGAAGTAATACTTAGAAGAATTGTATGCAAGTCAATTTAGTGAAAATGTCTTGGAAGAAGAGAAATGCGTAGAAGAAGAAGACAAAGGAGACTATATCCTTCAATCAGAAATTGATTTTGCTACAGAAAATCTTAAAAATAACAAAGCATTTACTATATATAAAATCCCAGCAGGGATAATAAAGTGTGCTGGAGAAGGAGTAAATAAAGAACTTGGAAATATATGCAACAAAATGTGCTTAAACGGGAAAATAATCAACGATTTCAGGAAAGGTATTATAGTAACAATTCCCCAAAAAAGAGAACAATGAATTGAGGAATATAGAACTTTAAACCTCAACACACATGATTCAAAAATAATAATAAGAGTGATAAAGAATAGAATAGAAAAGGCAATAGATGCAAACCTAGGTGAAGATCAATTTGGTTTCGGGCGAAATATAGGAACTAGAGAGGTGACTTTGACACCAAGGATAATGATAGAAAAACAGATTAGACGGAACAAAGAAACTTTCATCACTTTTGTAGATCTAGAGAAGGCTTTTGACAATGTACAATATAAGGAATTATTTAAAATCTTAAACAAATAGGAATTAAATATAACAATAGAAGACTTATCTATAATATGTACAAAAGTCAAACAGTCTTAATACATATAAGATGGGAAAGAACAAGAAGCAAAAATAAAAAAAAATTCAAACAGGTGTGTATCTTGTTGCCTGTTCAACTTATACATTGAAGAGGCAATGAAAAAATTGAGAGCAGAAATACAGAAAGAAGTGAAGGAACAATGGTTACTGCCTTAAAATTTGCGGATGACAAAATACCCTAGTCAAAATAGATAAAATATTAGAAAATAACTATGAAATGCAAATAAACAAAAAGAAAACGAAAGTTATAGTATGCAGTAAAGCTAATCCGGTTCGAATCAACATAAATATTGACAATGAACAAATAAAGCAAATACAGCAATTCACATACCTAGGAAGCAATATAACAGACAGAGCATGGCAGCAGCAAAACAAATATAATCTACAGAATAGCACAGGCAAAAAGAGCCTTTCAAGACAAAAGCCACATTTTAACTACCAATAGTGTCAGCCTGGAGATAACGAAGAAATTCCAAAAAAGTTATTTATGGAGTGTAGCGCTCTTTGGATCCGAAACCTGGACAATAAACTCAATGGAAAAAAATAGGCTAGAAGCCTTTGAGATGTGGTACTTCAGGAAAATGTCCAAAATACCATGGACGGAGAGGGTAACGAATAACGAAGTATTAAATAAAATAAAGGAACAATGACAAATATGAAAAAGTATTCAATCAAGAAGAGACAAAATGATAGGACACATATTAAGGCATGAAAGTTTATTTAAGAAAATAATTGAAGGAGATGTTGAAAGATACATTGCAAGAGGAAGACCAAGAGCAGAATACATGACACAGATAATGCAGGATACGAATAAGGGAAATTACAAAGACCTGAAAGAACTGTGCTACAATAGAGAAGCAAGTAGAGCTGCAAAAAATAAATCTACGGATTTAGAAAATTTACAAATACGAATTTACAAAAAAAAAAAAAGATAAAAACAAAAATTATAGTGTTAATTAAATTTAAACTTCGAATTGTCGTTATCAGTTTGAAAAATATTTTTAAGTTCGATTTACAAACAGTATTAGATATTAAATAATTTGGTTAAACATTTTTTCACTGCAAATTTGAAATTTGAACAGTTCTATCCATCACTAATTATCTTATACTTCTAGATTTTATAGCCAATAGTTTTATGAATCTAAAGTGATATATAATTTAAAATAATGATATCTTTCCAAGTAATCTACCAAACAATATTTACAAGATAAAACTTTTTAAGCAACATTTTCAGCATTTTCTTAAAATTGTTTTCTAATGTATCAATCTAAAATTATTAACTTTATAAAACTTATGACAACCTAAAAGAAATTTCAAGATTAATGTTTTAAATTTATTTATTACCTGGTTACAGCATTCGAAAAAATTGATGCACAATTATCGTGTTGGCCTAAGTAAAAATGTTTTTCAATTGGAGAAAATGTAAGCCAATGATATTCATTAATTAGAGTTGGTATTTTTAACTCATGTTGCACATCTTCAATAGTATTACGCCATATTAATTTTGAAAACCATTCAATAATATCATTAGAAATATTATTACCATGAACAAACTCTTCTAGTTTATAGTTTAGTTTTACTTGTAGGAACTTACAAATACCTTTAAGATCTAAACACAAAATATTTTTTTAAAAATGTTAAAATGAACACGTTAGTAATATAATAGGTTTTTTTTTTCTTTAACAATTGTTGTCATTTTAATTAAGAAAAAATATAAATATTTTAGTGCTTACCAGTCATTGAATTATGTATTGGTGTACCAGACATTGCCCATCTATGTACAGATTGTAAACATGATGTGATTTCAGATGCTTTACAATTTAGACTTTCAACAGTTTGAGCTTCATCCAAACAAATTCTCCACCACTTTATTGAAGTCAATGGAGATCGAGGATAATTGTACTTTTTGGAACGTCGCAGGCGAGTATTAATAGTTTGATTAACTGAATCCTACAATAAACATTAATTTATTTATGTAAATGTCTACAAATTTAATATTAATATTATCGGCTGTCAAATTTTATTTTTAAAATAATTACACAAACATTTTCTAAAAAAAATTTAGAAATTATACTACAGAGTAAAATTAAGTTTGCTTAGCCAAATAAAAAATTGTTTCTACTGTAGAGATTTAGTAATGTTTTCAAATTTATATATACAAAGAAAAATAATAAAAAAATTAAGAAACAATAGAATTCATATATTAGCACTATACTTACTCCAAAATAGTTTAAATCTTTTGAGAGATTAGTATATGATGTGATTACTACATCATATTCATTGAATGTAAACGGTTGAATATAGCCATCAGAATGTACACCATTGTAAAGAAGAACTTTCAATCCAGGCTTTGCAATATGTTTTTCTATCTAAAATTAAATTAAAGTATGTAATGGAAATAAATACATACAAAATAAAATATATAATGATGAATTAATGTTACTTCATTAGTCCACTGATTTACAATAGACAGTGGTACTACAACCAATGTAGCTTTACATTGTAGTTTTTCATTTAAAGCCCAACAAGTGGCACACAAGTATGGAACTTCTTGAAAAGGTTTCGGTAGAAAATGTACACACTCTGCATGTTGGCCTTTATTACACACAGCACAAATTACTAAAGTGCTGTTAGGCGGTGTTTCAATACAATAACACTCAATATGAATATTTTCATCAGAAGCACTTGGGACGCTTTTCTTTGTTACAGTGCTCATGTCACTTAAAACAGAATTATACCATCCTTCTAACATAGTTCGTGTAGTATTTTTTGTTATTTTCTTACAAGCTTCATTACTGGATTCTATGTATTTAGTATTTTCTTTTGTAATGTTTATTTTTGAGTTTGAGATATTTGGAATAGGAATTTTTAATCCATCAAGTATATTTTTATCATAGAACTAAACAAATTTATAATACAATTAACATTATAATTTAAAAAATTGAGGTAGAAAATTAAAATACTTCTAAAGGTGCTGGATTAGAAGCGATGCACGTTAACATTTCAACAGTTTTACCTAAGCCCATCTCATCAGCCAAAATACCTCCACTAAATGGCGAACCATCAATTTTAATTACTGAAAAACCCATATTCAAATATTAACTATAAGTATTTTATAAACATAGGTTTTTTTTTTTAGCTACAATCTAAGTATAACATTTAATAACTCACATTCATTTTTTGTCTCTCTATCTACCATCCATTTTACAGCTCTAAGTTGGCAAGATCTAAGTTTGAGTAACATAATTGATGGTTGTTCAAAATTATCGTCGACATGTTTATGAAAACTTTGGATGATTTTAAGAAACTCGCAAGGTTGAAAGTTGTCCATTTTAACAAATCTGAAAATATTCTTTAAACTATAAATTCAAATACAAATAAATATATAAATTGTGTTAGTAATTTATAAACATATTTCAGGTATACTAAATTAAGTAAAACATTGGATTAATGTTTCATGATTCATGTTTATTAGTTAAAAACTTTATTTATTAGATAACTATTTAATGAAAAAAATATACATTAATTCAACTAATGTAAAAATTAAGCTTTATACATTTAGTTATAGGAAATCCAAAATACAAATAAATTTACCTCGGTAATAAATGAGTTATTATGTATGAATTACATTGTATCTAGTTTAACATAAGTCACAAACTCACAACTATTTATATTTGATAAATATGGTTTATATAACATATAGGTACGAGGTAACTATATATTTTAATTTTAGTTTATATTCACAGTTGTTTAATTCATATTTAAATAATAAATATTTAACTTTAACACAAATTTAAAAAATAATAATAACATTATTACAATAATTTTTTTGAGTCACTGATTGTTTGACACTTTGCTAATATACTTGATACAATGTAAAAAAAAATGACAGTCATCTTATAATATATTAAAATATATCAGTCACTCAGTCAACACAAAAAGCACACTATATTTCCACACTTTGTGTCCACTAAATTCTTTTTGTCTTGTCTATTAGCATAGTCTATGAATATATTAGATTCCAGCATTAATAACCAACAATATAAAAAGTAGTAGAGTAGTGACACCAATCAAACATCCTCAAAAATTAATTTTCAAACCTATATCTCTACCTATTTTTTTTTTTACATTACATTTGAATACTGTAATATACTCTTTAAGAACTAAATAAGTTTAAACTCAGATATTGTTGTTTTATAGGCAAATTGTAATTATAAAAGTTGGATTGAATTTCACTTTATAGTGGAAGTTTGTTGTTTTTTGATCAATCCTAGGATAAGATTTTGTATATGTTTGATGTTAATCATATTCAATTTCAAGATTCAATGTTAGTGTCAAATTATAGGGGCGTATCACTATTAGACTCAGGATATAAAGTATTTACAACATTGTTATTGGAACAAGTCAGTCTATAATGCAACAGAGATTGTGGAGGAATACCAATGTGGGTTTAAAAAAGAGAAATCAATTGTCGATTTTGTTCATTTAATTTAATGTTTAACAAACTCTTTTTTCACCAATATATTTACGTCATAAAAAATAACTATTGATCATATCCATACCATCAGATAACCTTCTGCTCTAAGCACTAGGAATATAATAAGTAGAGACTGGAATTATATGTATTTACATGTTTATACATAGTGTATGCACGTTGATGGTGGTTTAAAATGTCTGCGATTCATATCACACCAAATTTGACTTTGCATATTTTGCATACTCAAATTACTACAATAGTTCACAAATGCACACAACATACATATTATGTGTATCTATTGATAAATCAATTACTATAGAAAAAAAGTTTATGAAGTTTTTTCTCAGAGGAATTTTGTTAAAATACTGTTATATTTGCCACAGTGTATGAAATTAGAGCTATAACCTATAGCTCACAATCATGTATGTTTTGGTATAATCATTTGATGAATTTGTTTGTCATTCTTGTTGTACATGATGTGTCGTTATATTTTAAAATCTTGCGTGGTAAAAAGCATGTGATTTTAGTTTTATTATTTTGAAAGTTTAATGTTAGGTTTTCAAGACATGTTATTTCAAATAATATAATATATAATAAATTATTACTAAGTTTATTACTATTATTGGTGCAAAAATGGTGTTTTATTTTTTTAAATATATTTTATTAAATATAATATAATGCATTTAATTGCTTTTTCAGCTAATTTTTGTATACATATTTGACAATTTTTAAATGCATATAATTCTGGGCTCTAATGACAAGACTCTCCACCTGGTATTCATAGACTTAAAAAAAACCTACCATTCCATTAATAGACAAGAGCTACGGAAAGTTTTGAGATGTTTGGGTATTCCTCATAAATATATAGATTTAATTAAGATGTGTAACAGTAAGAGTAATTTTAAGATAAAATATCAGCAAAAATTGTCTAAAAAGTTTGAAGTAAAATCTGGTCTTTATATCCAGGGGACGCATTGTCATCGATGCTATTAAACATTGCTCTTGAATGGGTAGTGAGAACAGCTAATGAAACTCGAATGATGGAAATAGGTGATATTGAAACCATCCTTTTGGGGGTTTCATTTTCAGTTCTCGCTCTTACCATTTTTAGGTTCAAATTTCACCATTCTGTTTTTAGAGTTAGCAATACTACAACTATAATGCGGTATTAGGTAATCAGAAAAAAAAAAGGCATGGAATAAAAAGCCACAGAAAAAAAGACAAATCGTAACTTTAGAGATAGACGTGTGACTGGAAGTAGTTTATAAAACAGTTCTATCTTAACACAAGAAAGGTTTTAAGGAAATTTACCATAATAGAATGCCAACTAATGTCATAAATTATGGATAAGCTACATATTATCTTGAAATCAATTGATTTATATCTTATATCTGTAAAATAATATGTGTAATGTGTATACTTGGTTCGTACAATTTTTATTTTTATTTTTCCCCAGCCATTAATTTTCCCACCAGAAAAATTACGAAAGTTAAAAATAAAAATAAAAAATACACATTATACAATCAATATTAAAAAAATGCTCTATAGGGCGTCAGTAAATAATAATAATAATACATTCATTATTATTATAAAAGTATAAAATGATATTGCTATTATTATATAATTAATAATGTAACTAATTATAATATAATAAATAAATTGTATTTGATTATTTTATACGATCATAACAGAAATCATATACATAGTCATAAAACAAATAAATTGCATCCAACTTAATCAAGTGAATTACTTGAAAACAACTGAAAAGTTTTACCTGGTACGAAATTCGGCAAACCATATATTAACATCTACCCACGAACATCAAGACTCATTGGTTCAGAAACAACTTCTAAACAAAAATTAAACGAACTCGATGTACCGAAGTCTTCTGTACCGAAATGTAGTAAACTCGTCAACTCTTGAATCACAATGAAAAGTTTATTTGTTTGTGTTTACAAATACAAACATAATAAAATTCACAAGGTATGATCACACATTTCTGATACGCATATCACTGCAACCACTTACGTCACAGCATGGCTAAATATATAGGTATGATCATAATATAATGAACCAGGTGTGGTATCAATAGGCGTAATTCTGTTTTAAACTGCGCAAATATGGCGCTGGTCTTTCGCTGTCTGATTGGTTTATATATTTTGGTGGTATTTTGAATTATTATTTGCTATTGATTGTAACAATTACAATAACAAATTTGTTGGAGATAAATTATAAAAATAAATAAGTTTTTGTAGGATAAGTAAATTATCCTTCTCCTAATGTAGGTACTCATATTAGCACTTGAAGATATCATAATGAGAAAAAATAATTAGAAAAGACATACAATCTTCATACTTCGATTTTTTTTTAATTTCTCAACTGCTTGTTCACTTTTTGTTTTTTAATTAGTTAGTCTCTGTGTGAGACCCGTAGTTTTACATACTGGCTCGGGTAATATTATCATATATCATTATACAATATAAGCACAATATATTATATAAATATATATATATATATACGTTCTGCTAGCAATATTCGTTAAGAAAGCCTAGTGGTTCCCAAATTTGTATACAATGTTGCCTACACAACTCCTTAAATTAATTTTTTAACCCATTCTTAATGTTATATAGGTAACGTTCAATTTTGTACATATGTTGCCTACCCAGCTCCTGAAGTTGTATTGTAAATTCTCAGTTTGTCTATTTATCTAACATTCAAAAATCTATTACTATTATTCAAAAAATATTTCTATACCTACCAACCAAAATTGAATTTAATACAAATATGCATAATATTGTAAATATTCCCTAACCCACAAAATAGTCTTAAATATGTAAAAAAAACTTTGTCCTGTTTTAACGGAGTATACTGTTTGAAAGTAGACTTCACGGTCTATCGTTAAGTGAAATAAAATTTTTTCTAATCGATTTGCTTTTATTATTAATCAGGTTACAAAGAAGAGTGTTTCAGCTGGTTACTGTGACGTTATACTACTACTTACATAATATTTTTTTTTGTGCATTTTGTTTTTATAATATCGTGCATTACTGCACATTTATTGTCTATCAAACGCCTTCAATTAGTTCTTCGGTGCAAACCGTTCAGCCCTACGCAATTCGATAGATTAACATGTAATCACCTGTTCTTTCATTGACCGGACATGGAATTCTAATATACTAGTACTGCCATCTATCAACGACGTATGGCGATCTATAAATTTAATGTCAGTTTAATGATATTATCTTTTAATAAATAATTTTTTATATTATTTATGGGTATTATATTGTTTTTTAAACTAAGCCTTTGGCTCGATTTTAAGATGTGGATTAAAAGTGGCAGTCTAAAACAACAAACAACTTTTGAATTTTATTTTATAAGTAAAAATTTTAAACAATGAACACAATGACTTACATTTTGTATAGTATTGGTAAGGGATCGGTCAATTACTTAACAATATAGGTACTTTTGTTTTTATAAGTTTATCTCTTTTGGCGCAATATTTGTTTATGTTTTAAGTTTAGGCGGAGAGATGAATGTATTGGTTTTACAATGTTACAGCTACAGAGTGAGTTCCCACTTAATAAATAATAATTATAAACATTAATCTGCTCCATAGTTAAACGTGTGCATCACTATTCCCTGGCCGGTTATTAAGAACACGGATTACATTACCAAGTTACCAGACTTAATAATCTAAAACCGTGGTACTGACTACCGAATCGGTTAAAAATCGGTTAATAAAAATGACAGTAATTTTCTATCTTATGTAAAAAAAAAAAATAATAATATCCCCATATAATGATCTGTCGCTGTATGATTAATCACAGTATAATATTCTCAAAACAATTTTTATTATCTATGTGTGTGATAAAATATAAAATTGTGATTATTATTTTTATCAACATACAATAATAATAATCAAAACATTTTGAGGTTAAACAAATCGTTCATCGGTGGATTATATTATTTTCTCCTGAACAACTTGTTATTCCCCGACTCTCCGTCTTCCATCAGTCACATCATCTGATTAAATTTCTTCGTTCCTCCTTCTGTATACATTTTGTTTTATTATTTTGTTATTAATTATAGGTACCTACTTTTAATTTTTTAATTAGTTGGTTAATCATATTTTAACAAAGGTCTAATTGTTCACTGATCTTATATTTTGTAGTTTGTACTTGTTACTGTTTTTACCTTATTCATCGATTTGTCAAGGACGGAGAAATCCAAAATATAACAAAGGTGGGTATATGTGTGCACTAATGCGTATATGTGTGCGTATGTTTATCTCGCACAGCTGTTGAGGGGAAAATGCAATAATAAAAGACAGAAAAAAAAGAAAGAGTACATATTATAATATTATTATATTATGTTTATCGATGGATTCGTTATTTTAGATTTGATGTGTCGTAGTCCAATAATAGATTTTCGTAGAGGTGGGAAAAGCGTTTAAATCCAGCCGTCGCGTAGCAAGACTGGCCTCGAGTGGCGATTCTGATGACGGTGGGCTTGTTCCACCACCGCGTAAGAAAAGGTACTTGGATACGGAAGAAACAATGTTGCAGCCAACTAATGGCTGTTTGCAACACAATGGATCGGTGGATCAACCATCGTCCAGTTCGACCATTAATGGTTCTGCAACTGGCAATGGAGATGGTCAAGACCAAAGCAACGGTTGTAGTATCAAGGGAAGGTCAAGCCAAGAGATTGTTAGGCTCATCGGCCAACACTTAAAGCTTCTTGGACTCAAGTGAGTTTCTAGAGTTTTCTAGTAGCATTTTGGATCTAGTTGGTAGTTATAATATTCTATAATTCCTTGTACTTTACTTAATAATGTAGAAAAACAAAAACATACAGTTAGGATACCTGAGAAAATTTTTGTAACGTCAGTTTTAATTAATCAATTTTGGTTTTTTGTTATGGTTTACTGAGAAATAATTTTAGACTTAATGTTTACTGGATATTTATCTATTTCTATTTAAATTGTTTAGACATGATATAATTTCAAATATTGTTTTAGATTTTTGAGTTGTTTCTACATAGGTATTTGAAACCAAATTTGCCCAGTCTATTAGTTTACTTTATGGATTTTTGTGGACATTTCTTAGTCTCTTGAAATAAAAATTAAATATTAAGTTTGTTCTAAAACTTTGAAAAAAAAGTTTAATGATAATTTAAACTTTTTTTGTACTTGCCCCTTTTATACCTAAGTGTATAAAATTCAAATATTGATAAAATTAATAAAAAGTCAATTTTTGAAAAAGTGTTTAACCCTTTCAGAATCAGTCTTTGTTCTTATGTTTATCAAATTATTAATTTAGTATAAAAAATAAATTACATTGTGTCTGGTGCATATATCCACGGTGCAAGTAATGTACTGTACCTATCTTTTTTTTATTTTTTTTTTTACATTAGATCACTTGTATGATTCATTATTGTTTATATCCATTTTAACCTTAATTATTTGATTGCCTACCATAGTAAAATGAGTCTAAATGTATATTCGTATATACGTTTTTGGAATGTGAATACATAGCAGAGCAAGTGCCAAACATCATCTAATCATAACCTAAATCTAAAAATCAAATTTGATAATAATTCAACACTTAGTTTTACAAAAGATAAACTTGATGTTTAGCTTTCTCTTAAACATATTTAGGTAGATACCAATTTTATTTTTAGCCGTACGTTAATATAATGTATTTAAATAGATTAACTTAACCCACTTTTAGTTTTAGTTTTAAATTTTACATATTTGATAAGTAGGATGTTGTCAAAGTAGCTTAAATAATTTTATATTTAGGTATTACAAACTTTATTATTTATAACTGTTCTTATTCCTTTTTATTTCAAGAAAATTAAACAAAAATTAACATATATTCTAGCATTGTCAGGTTTACATATAACCAGAATAAGCAGTTGATTAGAGCAGCAAAATTATAGTTATTAGTTGCCTTTTTACCTATACTTTTATTTCAGATTTTTCCCAATTATTTTTAGAAAATCCCTTGGAAAATCGAAAAATGATCCTCCTAATGCACCAACTTGAGAAAATTACCTTTCAGAAAATAAAGTTTATACTTCTGAACAAGTTTTCTGGTAGAAAAGTTGTTTATAGACAGAAAAATACATATTAAAACTAATAGATCTCTTGCTACACTTCAAATCTAAAAATAGATCATATTCACTCTAAGTACCTCTAGGAAATATAATTGTTATAAATTCAAGACCTTGTAAAAATCTTCATCTTTCAAAAAAAAAAAATGATTGATTTAGACAAGAAAGTTAACCCTGTAAAGTATATTTTGGGGCAAAAAAAGCACCCCTGATACAATTGTTTTAAAAAACTAGTTTGTTAATAATTTCTATATATAATTGGGAATAAAAGTAAATATAAGTCATATTAAATTACTGTTTCAAATAAAATCTACATTGCAACCAGTGTCAACTTAACTGTTAAGTTTTTTAATCCTGTTCGTTTAGAAACTCAACAATTTGACGACTCCAATACGAAAAAGTGAACTTTGATAATATTGCGCTTCCGTGTATTCTGAATTAACTTAAGTTATTCAAATGTATAAGAAATAACATTATATCTATTATATTTTATTTCTCTCACTATTTTAAAATCTTTCATATTTTATTTTAGTCAAACAGCTGAAGTATTAATGCAAGAATCAGGCTGTCGTCTAGAACATCCTGCTGCTACCCAATTTCGACATCATGTAATGGATGGTGAATGGCACAAAGTATGAATCATAATGAATATATTTGAATCAAACATTTTTTATACATAATTTCTTTTACAATTACAGTATAAAGTATTTATACATGTATTGGCCATTTTTTTTTTTTATTATTATATATAGTTATAATTACACAATTAATACAAAATGTAAACATAATTTAATGTATTATAATTCAACAGCATAAAATATTACCTAACACAGCATATTGTAAATGGGTTACTTTTTATTCTTGGTTACACTATTATAAAATAACTTATAATATTTTAGGTTAGTGCAGATTTGAATGAACTTCAAACCTTGGTAGGAAATACATGTCAGTATTTTTTGGTAAGTGTATTTTTTTTTTTAAACTACATTAAAAGTATAATTTTGATTATAACATAATTATTTATTTTTATTAGGATATGAAGTTTTTAATATTTGAACAAAAATATTTGGAATATTTAGAGGATGGTAAGGTTTTAGATGCATTGCATGTTTTACGTAATGAGCTGACGCCTTTACAACATAATATTGATAAAGTTCATATCCTTAGCAGGTAAGTAAGCTTTTAAAATTGAAAACTGTTATTTGAATTATTATGGATAACTATATTTTATTTATTTTTTATAGTTACATGATGTGTAGTGGACGAGATGAATTAATGAAGCGAGCAAATTGGGAAGGAAAAGGACTTAAATCTCGAACACGGCTTATGGATATGATTCAACAATTTTTGCCACCTCACATTATGTTACCACCTAAGAGGTAAATTATCAATCAATAAAATTGCATTATGCAAAATACAACTTATTATTGATTACTTATATGTGTATGTTTTTATCTTGAAAATGTATAGGTGTACTATCAACATTTTTAAAAATATATTATATTGATAGCATCACCCATGTAATTCAATAAATATAATAATCTATGCAAAGTGCAGAGTTTATTGATCTTACTGTTATAATTTAATTTTTTTTGTTTAACTCAACCTTTTACAGATGTCCTATGTAATTTATTTTTCCATTAAGTATCATGTATATATCTTGTATATTTTACCAATGTATAGCAATTTTCATGAAAATAATATATTTTTATCATTAAAATTATTGGTTATATTTCATTAAAAATTAATTTTAGGTTACATATGCTTTTAACACAAGCAGTAGAATTGCAGAGAAATCAATGTTTATTTCATAATTCATTGTTTGATGATTCCATTGAAAGTGTTTCCTTACTTACTGACCATAAGTGTTCACTGTAAGTATTAATTAAAATATAATATCTAATTACTTTTGTGAAAAAAGAAGACATTTTTTTTATTGCAGAGAACAAATTCCGTGTGAAACTGTCCAAATACTAACTGAACATTGTGATGAAGTATGGTTCTGTCGTTTCTCACCTGATGGAAAAAAATTAGCAACTGGCTCAAAAGATGCATCCATAATAATATACGATGTTGATCCAGTATGTTAACCATGGATAAATTTGAATCCATTTTATCTTCCATATAATCCATTTTATTTTATTTATAATAAAATCTTATTTTTTAGGAAACATTAACTGTTGAGCAATCAATTACTTTAGATGGTCATTCATATGGAGTCAGTTACCTTTCGTGGTCTCCAGATGGTGAACTTCTTATGGCTTGTGGGCCAGAAGACAGTCCTGATTTATGGGTCTGGAATGTTAGTACTGGTGTTTTAAGGTTAAAACTATCACATTCATCAGATGATTCATTAACTGCGTGTTCTTGGCATAAAGATGGTCAAAAATTTGTCTGTGGAGGAATTAGAGGACAATTTTATCAATGTGTAAATATATACATGTATATTTTAAATATTATTATAATTTAATAATAAATACATTTTAGGATTTAGAAGGTTCTGTATTAGATTCATGGGAGGGTGTAAGGGTAAATTGCCTTTGGTGTCGATCTGATGGACGAACAGTGTTGGCAGCAGACACCCGCCAACGAATTCGTTCATATAATTTTGACGAGCTAAGTGATCAAAATTTGTAAGTACAATACAATTTTATAATTTCATTATTTTTTAATTTTTTTGCAAAAAAGATTATTAAGAAGATATGTCAAAAAAATTCAAAACTTTTTTGGAAAAGACTGGGTTTTTAATGCTGAAGATAGTAGTGTCAATCACAATTTTTCAAAAACTTATTTTAGAAGTTATAGTGGTTTGCAGACTATGTATGTGAAACATACAATTGTAAATATAGGAGATGGCTTGCTACGCATGCTGGTTTTGCTTGCCAACTCGAGCTCTAGCTGAGTTAACCTACGTTTCCAACCTTATGCTATTTGGAGGAGGACAGTGTTATACATTTTAAACTATTGTAAGCCACCTCTATTTAGTACAGCAAAACTGTAAAACAAGTATTGATTTAACGGTTTGAGGTGTATTAACATATTACAATTTTTTTTATAATTATAAGGGGGCATCCCATATCAGGTTTGCAAAACCCTAAAAATAATAAACTTCAAGTAGCTAAAATCTCTTTAATAATGATTTCTGCAAACAAATTCAAACATTTTCAAAGTCATTGTTGAGAAACATATATTTTCCAATAAAAAACTTTAAAAATTTAGAGTGGCGTGGTAAAGTGCATATTAATCAGATTAATTATCAATTGTTTGAATAGAATACAAGAGGATCATCCTATAATGTCTTTCACAGTCAATAAAACTGACCGCCTTGCTCTCCTCAATGTTGTATCACAAGGTGTTCATTTATGGGATTTACAAGATAAGTGTTTGGTAAGGAAATTCCAAGGAGTAACACAGGGCCATTTTTCAATACATAGTTGTTTTGGCGGTGTTAATCACGATTTTATAGCTAGTGGAAGTGAAGGTTTGAAAATTAGAATTTTTAATAAATATTCAATATTGTAACAATAAAATTATTATGCTTATAATTTTATTTTATAGATAATAAAGTTTATTTATGGCATATTAAACATGAACTGCCTATAGCAACGTTACCTGGCCATACAAGAGCAGTAACTTGTGTTAGTTGGAACCCTGTTTATCATCAAATGCTTGCTTCTGTTTCTGATGATTGCACTGTTCGTATTTGGGGTCCTGCTGCAATGTATCGTAAACAAAAAACTAATAGTGGTAAGTTTTTCATTGATGATTTACTTCGTTAATTAATTTAATTTGTTAAAATTAAAACTAATGGTTTTAACTAGTCAATGGTGTATACCAGTACCCTTTTTTTCCATACCTAATTGATTATATTCAATTTCTATATTAATATTTTATCCACATCAAAAACTATTATATGTATGGGATATTTAATTTATGGAGTAATAAATATTTTTTTTTTTATACTTTTTTTATTAAACTTATAACCTTTTGAATAAAAATCAGATTTCTAAAAATAAGTGATAAAAGTGGTTAAAACATTATTAATTTTAAAATAAATACTTTTTAAATATCATATTTTTATATAAACTTATAACAAAACAAAACATTAGTTTAAAAATTTGATTCTCATATATTTATATTAGGTATTTAATAGCCATATTTAATGATTATGATTTAGATTTAATTATTTAACGTTCATACATTTTTTAAATTATTAAAATGATATTATTTTCCATATCTTTAACATTTAAAATGTTGTTTTAAACTTAACATTGTTATTTTAAAATAAGACATTAAATTTGTAGACAATTTTTTTGATCATCTCCAATAGAACTTTTCTAGCACATATTATTATTATATAGAGATATGCTATTTAATTTAAACACATACACTTAAGTCTCTAATAATGTGTAATTAAAATTAATACATATTCCAAAAATAATAAAATAAGACTTAAAATATCAAAAAAATATATATATACCTAAATATGTTAAAATTATTATAAATACTAATTTTAAATAAAAATATCTTATATAGGTTTTTTAAAACTTTGTAAAGTTATAATTAATTAGATAATAGTTTATTTTAATACATGTTTCAAGTATGTATATTTATTAAAACTCCAGTTTCATTAATTCCATATGTCGTTGAAAGATGAACAAATGTTAAAATAATTTTCAAAGTATGAAGTTTTATAAATATTTAAATATACCATATTGAGTTTAGTATAAACATTTATTTTTTATTTAATACAATTATTGAACACTAGCTATGTTTATTTATTATACAGCAATTATTGTCATACCTGTGTATTTTATATTTTTGAATTAACTTCAGTGTAGTTTTTATTAATAAAAACATTTATAATATACTGTAGTATTAAATCCATATTGGTTAATCATATACAGATTATAGTTAAAATCACAATTAACTGTAATTATAAAAAATAGATTTATTATGAATCTGCTAATATACTTTTAACTTTTTATAGTAAAAATTAAAATATATTTAATATATTATGTGATATGATAAGTATTTAGTTATTAATAATTATATAAACATGTATTTATAATAATTGTATTAAATATATTGTGATTCATTATTATAGATTATATAATATCGTATCTGAAAATACATCATTACTCAATAAGTAAAGTATTTTATAACAAATTAATTCATTACATTGTATTTGTTAATACTTTGTAATACATTAGGATATTATGATTGTCATGGTTTGCTTATCAAAATTATGGAATTAGAACATTTTTAACATGCATGATGAATCATTCACAAGTATTCTATTTACAAAATTAAAAATATTGTAAATTGTTTCAAAATTTATTTTCATTACTATTTATTAATTAAATAGATCTCAAACTGCTACAAAGATACTGGTTTTCTTTTAAAAAGAATATTTAGATTAATATTTTCTTATACTTAATTTTATATACAGAACCTGTTACTAAAGTAAAAACCACATTTTTTTTTCTTTTTACACAGATTTAAACAGCGATTCTGGGTCACCTTCCAAACATATGTAAAAAAAAAAAAATTATTGAGACTATTTGAAACAAATAATGTGTATTTTGTTTTGCCATTAATAAACTTTATATTTTAAAGCTCTTTTTTTTTGAACATTTTTTAACTTTCAGTTTTCATGTTATTTTCTGTTAAAGACAAGTTTATAAAAAAAATAATGCTACAAAGTTGTTTAGAATGCCACATGTTATATTTTATTTTATAGCATTTGAGGGTATAAAAAACATAAAATAACAGAGCTAAATAAAAAAAAAAAGGTTGTAAATATTTTTTAATTGCAAAACTCCTAGACTTTAAGTCATGTATTTTCAAATACTTATTATAATTTTTTTGTATAGTTAATAGATTGTTTTACCAATAGATTATTTTATTCTTTTTTCTAATTCATTACAATATTGATGCAATTTGATTTATATATAAATAAAATATAATTGTTAAGATAAATACCTATGTAATTGTCATTGAGCTACTATTGACTTAAAAAAAAAATAATAAATAATATATAAAAGTTTTAACAATATGTACATGTCTTTTTTTTTCATCTTAATTAATTTAAATTTTTCAATATTTCCCTTGTGTTTTCCAGTTCTCACATATAAATAAAATACTTTTTTGGGGATATTTAAAATCGTATGCTAAACCCATTAAATTCTTTTCTTGCCAAATACTCGAAGTTCATCAGATCACATCGTTCAATTTTGCTTCCAGGACTTCCTTCATTTGACAGCCATCCAATCCTGTAATACAAGTATAAGGATAATATTTACTGTCATTTTTATTAATATATTTCTTTAAAGTTTTTTTTTTAGTTCATGGAATAATATGTAATTACATTTATGTATTATATAGTGCACTAACGTTATGGAAATTATGGTACAACCAGATTTTGATAGACTATGTTGGCTATATAATTTCACAAGTTCAAGTAAATATTATAAGTAATAAGCAATTGTTTAATTTAATATCAAATTATTCACTACTTAGTGTTTAGTGTTGTGATAAGTTCAATAAGCATTAGACATTTAAGAGGTTATTTTAGTTTATATTTGGTTTGATGTAAATATAATTAATAAGTCAAACAGAAATGCTTGAAATTTTAATAAAAAAAAAAAATTGACATTCATTTTAAGTTGTACTTAATGGTAAAAAAAATGAACTTATACTGTTCAAAATTTGATTCTTCTATAAAAGGTCATAATTAGCCATAACAAGTCTATGGAAATTATAGGTCTCTGCAATTATTATTATTATTTTTTTTTATTAGGAGCTTTTAGTTAGACTATCACTCTACAATTATGTTTAATCAAATTACAACAAATAATAATGAAACTTTTATATGACTGGTTTTCGCAATTGTTATGAAAACTACTTGGAAAATCAAAAATTATTTTTTAAACTTCTAAACTATAGATCAAATTAGTTTTCTTATCATTTTTAATTGAATTAGATTTTATAAGCTTAATTTTGAAAAAATAACAGTATTTTAAAATATATTTAAATGAACTACGCTCAGAATTGTATTTTGTCAACAATAATTAATTTGTAGTTTTGGTATTTTAAAAGAAAATCTATTCATTTTAATTTTTATATTTTGTATAATCATTTTTATTATAAACAGTTTTTATGCTTATTGACATTTCTACATTGTGAGTACTTAATACATTTTATGTGTTGTTAACTTACATTTCTTCGACATTTGCTTTTGGACCTTGCATTTTGCCCATTATTGTGCCTCTTTTACTGTTCTTGACCCATCCAACAATATCTAATTCCAAACTTCGGTCTCTGCAGTATTTGGTAAAGTATACACCTATAATTAAATAGACAAATGATTATAAAATAAAAATTAATAGTAAACAAATTATTAATTTGTTTTATTTGTGTTTTGTCTTGTAATTTTTATATTTAGGTTGTTTCCGATACTATTTTTTAAATTAAACAATCTCGAAACAACATGTATGATATATGTGATATATGCCAAATTACCAAGTAAGTCAAATTTTATTTTTGGTTTTTTTATTAATCATTTTCCAAAAATTTTGTTTTAACAGCAATTTCATTTTTATGTTCATATTTAGGTATATTTTCTAAAAATAGTTTAAATATTTGTATATTATTTATACAATAAAATTATTACTTTAATACGTTTCATTTTTTATTTTAACATTTTAAAAAACTATAATTATAATTCCCGAATGTGAAATTTTTTTTAAAATTTATATTTTAAGAGTTTCATTATGAACTTCCAATCTTAAGGAATGTACTTATATTAACTTTAAATACGATTTGGCAACACATTCTGTATACATATGAAACGTGTATAATGCCAGATAATAATCATTGTTTTTTTATGTTTCGCATTTTCAAAGGTAGTTAATTTTATAGTTGTATAGTTTATTTATATACTCAGGTCTCAAATGAAATAATACATTTAATATTGTTTTTTCCTAGTAAAAAAAAAAAAAACTATGACAACACACTGTGAGAGTAAAATTTATAAAGATTTAAAAAAAAAAATTATTTAGATAAACAATAGGTCATCACCCCCTTATTGATATTTATTTTATTAAAAAAGAATATAGATGTATTATCGTTTTGAAAATTAACTTGTATATTGTTATATTATTTTTTTTTATTTGACACACTTGTGTAGAATTATCATATCAACATAAACTATTTTGCTAGTTGAAACAAGGTAATGGTAGGTATATTAAACAATGAAGGATAATTTGCTTATTGAATGATAACTAAAAGTATTTTCCTAGTTTTATAGATTTATAAATCAAAATTATAATAGGGAATTACTTAAACTGCATTATGTATATAATGCATTTGTTTAATGTTTCTAAAATTATCCATACAATTAAATTTCATGAATATGTTTTGAACTTTTTGTTTCAACAAATTGTAAATTTAAAGTTCCATTTCAATTTACTCTTTTAAAAATATTTAAATATTGAAAAAAGTTTAATAAGATACATTGACTGAGTGTCTGATGTGCAATGACTTGCCCAGTCTTGGCTTACTTTACTCTATGTGCACAAATTAATATTTTATATGCACCAGCCTATTACTCATGATTATAATTTACTCAATATTTATTTGTTTTTTTTTTTTTTTTTGAGGTTTGGAACCAGGGGTAAACCAAGATCACAGTACTACACTAGTTCAAAGTTTGAATACATTAAGTTTAATAATTATTGTAAGTACATTAAAATTTAAAATATTAGAAATTTAAGTATATTCCATTAGGTAAGTAAATTGTATTTATCTTAAAACAAAATAAAAAAAAATTACAAATTAGGAATTTAAATTTTAGAATATTATACACAATTTTTGGAAATTTTGAAAAAACTAATAAAACTAAGGTATTATTTTTGATTTTATTATTTAACACAAATAATCTGCTCCATGGAGTGCAATCGAATATTATTGTATTTTAATATTTATTTAATAAAAAAAACTTAATAAATTATGATATAAAAAAAACCCCATTAAAATATTAGTATTTATAATATATTATTATAGACAATATTATTTGTAAAACATACAACCACGTGACAATTATAAGCGAGTAAATATAGGCTGTCCCCGGTTGCCATTCTTGAATAGGGTTTTGCATTAGAACAAGTAATTATATTAATGTTGGTACCTATTAGCCAAATATAAAATAGGTTATGTAAATTATTAAATTTGTTTTAGATATTATATTGGCGTAGCGCCGTATATATTCGATTTAATAAAGATTAAGTATTATTTAAGTAAAATGAGTACTGTAGTTTACCCGACGCGTTGGTGGAAATTAGAAAACAATTTTATGATACAATTTAAATATAATTTATATGATTATGGTACTTTTTATATTGTCTCCCCGGTCCATAAGTAATGCAATGTGAGAACTATAAATAACGTTTAAAAATATATATTTACATCCGTGTAGTCCATGAATTTTGTTTTCCTAATGATCAAGTTACACTTGACCTTGCGATACGTTTAATTTAAAAGGTTTATCCGTGTAATAAATATATTATTGTGTTGATACCTATGTATTAATTATTAAATATGATCTATTTAGTATAACTCGCCCGATTTGGTTTCATTAGTCATACATACGTTTATATAGTAGGTACTAAGTAGAGTTAATTTGCAAATTGTATACCATCTAACTTAAAATAATATTATAATATCGCGGGAAAATAATGCATAGGCGTGCGAATTTATCGGAGAAAAATAATTATTACCTTGTACTTTTCCGAATACTTCGAATTCGACCGAGACGTATGAATGACCTGCCTCTTGAAGTGCCATTGTGTATGCCAAAACACAGACTAAGTCTCTGTCAAACCTCGTCTCGATATTTTTCTTTAAACCGTTTCTATTTTTGATAAGTGTTCTATATTAAGAAACGGCAGATGTGTTTACCATGTCAATTTATCAGCTCCCCTTGAACACTCGGGAATTTCTCAATACATATTTGAAATTCGGCGCCCAAAAACGTCTCAACAGTCGATTATTACAATACACACCTAATATTATATTATTACCTAATCATATAATAATAAACACATTTTTTTGCAATTTATTATGGAAATATTCAGCTATAATTTGTTATGTAATTCGACAAAAGTTTTAAAATACATATTTAGGGGCTAATAGCAGAGGGCTGGGGAACTAAATTCATAAACAACTAACAAGTCTAGCCTAATCGAACCAGCAAAAAAACAAATTAATCGAAAGTATTAAACACCAGAAGTTTATGCCTACTGGAAAAAATAGGCAAGTCAATTTATAACCAGACAAGTGTTGGGTTAATACATAGTCGTGGTAAATAATATAATATGCCATTATTAAAAAATACAAAATTTAAAAAAGTATTTTGATATTTTGTAAATTATACCTACCTTTTTTTTTTAAAAAAAAAAGAAGGGGTTTTATGGGTTAACTTGTTAAATTAAAATGAGAATCTATATTAAAAATTCCATAAATAAACAAAGTGTAAGTTTTAATAGGTATATTTTGCTGTTGAAATTTTTGATTTTCGTCAAACCGTTAACGAAGTTAAGGTAGGTAACTAACGTTCCATCTATTTATCAAATTTTTGGTGTAAAATCTCATATAAATTTCTAAAGTAGATCACCCCCCCCCCAAAAAAAAACTTTAAATTCAGAGTTGAACATTTTTCCAAAATAAAAATATACGGTAAAATAAATGATACATTTTTTTATTGCATGATTTTTAAAATAAATATCAAATAGACTTCAGAGGTATATTATAAACTAAAAAAAAATAAATAAACTAAACAAATAAATTGCAACTATTTCTGTGTTCTCAACTAGATGTGAAAGGACCCTTTCTTGTGTAAAACAAAACGAAAAAAATTATTTAAGAAATAAATTATTAGACTACCAAAAATCTTGTTCCGAAGTATTAAGTGTAGTATCTTTTCTGTTTTTCATTAGCAATGGTTTATCGGTAATACCGATTCGGTGTAAATTAAATAACTTTATGTATCCCATCTTTTTAATTACCCATCTACAACAGTGACCGCATCCGTCCTCAGTTTCAGCTCTTTTTTTTTTTTGTGTGTGTTGTGCCTATAAACGACTTTTCTACCAGAAATCTTGCTCCAATTAAAAAATAATAAAATGCTTTTTTTTATTTTAGATTTAGTTGGTTAATGAGTAAGTCGTGTTTAGATATTCCAACTATTTTTCATAATAATTGGGAAAAAATGTAGGAAATACGGACAAATATTTACGGCGTCCCGTGGCGTTTTCAACCGATTTTATTATTTTAAATGCTTATGAATTATGTTTTCTACCAGGAATCTTGCTTCAATCAAAAATCTGCATGAAACATTTTTTTTATTGTATTTTGGATTTAGTTGTTTAGTAGGTATGAATATCGTGTTCTGATTTTTGTATCGATTTTTCCTAATAATCGATAAAACCTGGAAAAAGTTTTAAAATAATGTTTTCTATCAGAAATATTAGTTCAATGTAAATATTTGTCATAATATTTGGGAAAAACTGAAAAATAACTAAGGAAATATGGGAAAAAATAGGATATAACGGTTTGGTTTTTTATTGTCCATTAGATAAAAATTATCTTGGAGATACTTGACATTATCACAGAATATTTCTGTGGCTTGGTCAAGAAGGGCTATGTCACATTTTGTGATTGTTGGAGAATAGACTTTGAAATCGTAATTCTCCATAAGGCTCTGTGTATTTTATTAAATGTAAATGTTTATGTAATTTTCAATTTTTAAAAAAGCTTTAAAAAAAAATTGTACACCTTTTCTTTTTTTATCTCTAAAAGATTTTTTCAATAAATTTATATTAGCCCTTCTTTCCTCAAGCCACAGATTTATGTTAGTCTTTTCCTAGATGTGGTAACATTCCCAAAATCATTTTGAGTTATTTATAGGCATTTTACATTTACAAGTTTTTTTTTTTTTTTTGGTATAGGTACTATGTGGATACAATTGTTCGGTTTTACAGAAACGATTGAATTTCAACACGAAATTCATTCTAAGTTGTGAACAAATAAATAAATTATATGTTGGAATTAGTTATATTTAGTTGAGCGTAATATAGTAGTTTACTTTTATAGTTGTTTCAGGATTAAATTTTGACCATAATCGTACATACCACGGAATTTCAAAAATTGTATACCTGACTGAATTCCACTCAGAATTTAATTTTGTTAGCAATGATTTATCGTTGTTTACAGGTATAAATTAAATAAATGTATTTGTTCTATATTCCCGACTTTTATGTCTTTAATTGTAGTATACCTATCATTAAATATTATATAATATATTATAATTAGGTGTGTAAAACTTGATATCTATCTTGATACTTGTCTTTTTTGTACCATTGTATTTTAATATAAATAAATTAAATATATTTATGTATTAGAAGTTATTTCATGAAAGAAACTTTTCAGTGCCACACACACTATATAATATAACTATATGTAAAGATTTTAGGAGTGTTCTAATGGTGAAACTCCTCATAACTAAACAATTAAAATTTCGCTCAGACCTACACAAAATTGGATCGCAGGCAGTTCGCCTTTTCCAACAATGCGTCGCCATTGCATTGTACATTCTGAATATTTTTGATATAAATAACTGGCAACTGCAAATATCGCTCATTTAGGTATATCTATATAATATTTTGGTTCTCGCGTCCTCTTTTCCAGGCCCACTCATCCTGGTTAACACTTTTGTTTAATAACGTAATAATATATAATAGGCTCGATCAATGGGTGTGTGAAGTATACAAACATTTTTGATTCACACTTGCCGAATATTTTGATTTTAAGAGAAGGGTACCATAAATCAACTTAAATTGCAAAACAAAAGCCGAATTAGCCGTGCGCTGTACATCGCAGCAAGAGGAACTCGTTAATAACATAAATGACGTACTAGCATATAATACGATTCATAAAACTATATTTGTAATATAGGTAACGCAAAACTGTACTTCAATGATGTCGTCACTCACTAATATCGCGATTTATAAAATCGAAATAGACTTTAAGGGTCTACCCTTGGCACTAAATCCCAAATGGCATAATAAATGAAAAAGATATTGGAGTCGTCGTCGGTTTTCTAAATAATCGTTTTCGAAATTATTATTTCGCGTTCAGTGCCAAACATTGTAAGAAAACTAATCATACCGCAGTGGACGTCATTGCTTATTGGCTTAATTGTTTATTTATATATTATTTTATGGTATTTTTCAAATATGTTCTTTTTTCTGATATACCAACAATTAAATAAACTAATTTAAATTATAAAATAAATTGTTATAAGCCAACGGATTATATGAATTACAACCAAATGGGTGAATAACCATAAATATTATAAATCGTACAGAATTTAGTATTGGGCATAAGTAACGTTAAATAATATGTATTACACTTTTTTTAGTGAAAGTATTTAGGCTCCTTTATCCTGAAAATCATTATAATGATAAAACAAAAAGACGGATATACTTCATACGTGGATGGGCCACCGTTATAAGTGAGAAGTTGGAAAGGCAAAGGAGTAATTTAATGTACATCTGTACGCAACTATTAAACTTTGCTCACGGAAAACGATTCTGAGCAGAGTTCGGTTAATAGTGTTGTTTTATTAACAATATATATTATATATGTCACATGGTAAAATAATTACATATACATTAATTAACATATAAATTATACTTTAATTATATTTGTTTAATATTGTATCTATTTTCCCGTTTTTCCCATTTATTGGGAAAACTATACTGGTAAAATCAAATAACGATCTCCTTAAAATACCACCTCAGTCAAATTTCCTTTTAGAAAAACTACAATTGTAAATCGCAGCAAAATTATTGGTAGTAAAGTTGCCCATAAAAAAAAAAAAAAAAAAAAATATTTATTGTATAATAAACTGGTAAAAACCCTTTTGTGAATACAGGTATGAATGAACTCACGCTTAAGGTTAAAATTTCATATATATAGTTTAAGTAATTAAAAAAAATTATAAAAAATAGTTAATGAATTTAGGTATAATTATTTAAGTAAATACAGATTAACTTAATAATGTGGTAACAATGAGAAAATAATAACTCAAAACATAATAAATTATAATTATAATAATTAATTTGCATTTAAAAGCTAAAAATACATTTTTTTTAAAAAAAATACGTGACATAAGAAAAAATCTACATAATCCATAATTTGATTTGTTAATGTTAATGCTCTAGGGAAGAAAATTACAGCACTATAGTTATTTCTATAAAGTGAAATATGAAACAAAGTTTTCCTTAAAAAATGACTTAATATATTAAACCCTATCATAGCAAGCAATTCTGGGGAAAAAATGTAACCGTTCAATAAGTTATAAACAAGCATTATATCTACCAACCTTCCTTCTTACCTCTCAAGATATAAATCCTAGTTAATTGATTCGCATATTGTATGAGTTCTTTGATATAAATGATAAATTTAGTTTGTAACAAAATAACTTTAAAAATTTTAACTGTTCATTTTCAATAAAATTAATGGCTGAGTTATTATAAGGTGCCCAGACTCAAGATGAGATCTAACAAATGCAAAAAATACAATTTTTAAGATAATAATACTATTGAAAGTAGCTTTATATCGGTTAATAAAGCCTAACATCTTATGAGCTTTCCTAAAACTATTATTTATATGAGAAGTGAAAGACATTCCTAAGTATTTAATTGATGTAACTCTTGTTACTGGACAGTTTTCTATTTTATAATCATAGTTAATAGCATCATTGGTACGTGGAAATATAATTATACTATTTTATTACATTTATCTATTTTTAATGGTAAATAATTTTGGCGATTCTATATTACAAATTTATCTAAATTTGCTTGTAAATTTAAGGTATCAATTGAAGAAGTAATCGTTGAAAATATTTTGGCGTCATCGGCAAATAGAAGTATATCGATCGTGTTATCGAAAATAGATCGGGGCATTGCTTATGAAAAATGATTTTGAGCATAGTTCGTTTAGATACATGATTTTTAAAGCTGTGATATGCGGCTAATATTTACGATTTTCTTAAAATTCGATCTTAAAACAATTATAAAACAAGTAAAAAATTACTACATTACAATCTATTTTTTTTTTCGAATTTGCTCAATTATTAAGAAAATTACACGGAAAATCAAAAATTAACTTTCTTACACAACTTGATTAAAAATGCAACAAAAAAATGTTTTTTGTTTTTCGTTTGGTGCATAAAACGTAAAAATTTTAAAAAATGCCATATTTTTGTCAGCATTTTCCTCAGTTACTAGATCCATAATGCAATAAATAAGTTGCT